TTATCTTATGTAGCAGCCTTTGGTGTGGCACCTTCTTAAATGCCTTCTGGAAATCCAGATACACCACATCCACAGGTTCCCCATTGTCCACCATGCAAGTAATATCCTCAAAGAATTCCGCCAAATTAGTTAAACATGACCTACCCTTCATGAACCCATGCTGGGTGTTCCCAATGGGACAATTTATATCCAGATGTCTTGCTATTTCTTCCTACATGATAGATTCAAGCATTTTCCCCACTACCGAAGTTAAGCTAACTGGCCTATAGTTACCTGCTTTTTATCTACTTCCTTTTTTTAAACAGTGGCATCACATTGGCTGTTTTCCAATCTGCGGGAACCACCCCAGAGTCCAGTGAATTTTGGTAAATAATTACGAGTGCATTTGCTATTTTCCCCCATTATCTCTTTTAGTACCCTGGGATGCATTTCATCAGGGCCAGGAGACTTGTCTACCTTTAGGCCCATTAGCTTGCCCAGCACTGCCTCCTTAGTGATAATGATAGTTTCTAGGTCCTCACCTGCTATAACCTTCTTGCCATCAGTTTTCGGCATGTTATTTGTGTCTTCCACTGTGAAGACCAACACGAAATAACTGTTTAATGTCTCGGCTATTTCCTCATTCCCAGTTATTAAATTGGCCTTCTCATCCTCTAAAGGACCAATGTTTACCTTCGCCACTCTTTTACAATTTACATGTTTATAGAAACTTTTGCTGCCTGTTTTTATATTCTGAGCTAGTTTACTCTCATAATCTATCTTACTTTTCTTTATAACTTTTTTTGTGGCTTTCTGTTGGCCTTTAAAGATTTCCCAGTCTACTAGTTTCCCACTACTCTTTGTTTATTTGTATGTGTTCTTTTTCAATCTGATACTTTCCTTTATTTCCTTAGACATCCATGGCTGGGTCTCTCTTTTCCTACAGTTCTTCCTTATCACTGGAATATACTTCTGCTGAGCACTGTGAAAAATTGTTTTGAAAGTCCTCCACTGTTCCTCAATTGACCCACCATAAAGTTTTTGCTCCCATTCTACCTTAGCTAACTCCTTCCTCATTCCTTCATAGTCTCCTTTGTTTAAGCACAGGACATAGGTACTGGATTTAACCTTCTCACGCTCCATCTGTATTTTAAATTCGACCATACTGTGATCGCTCCTTCCGAGAGGATCCCTAACTGTGAGATCATTAATTATTCCTGTCTCATTACACAGGACTAGATCTAGGATAGCTTGCTCCCTCGTAGGTTCCATTACATATTGTTCAAGGAAATTATCGCAGTTGCATTCTCTGAACCCCTCCTCAAGGCTGCCATGACCGACCTGGTTTGACCAATCGATATGTAGATTAAAATCCCCCATGATAATTGCTGTACCATTTTTACATGCATTAGCTATTTCTATGTTTATCGCCCACCCCACCACGATGTCATTATTTGGTGGCCTATAGACAGCACCTATCAGTGACTTCTTCTCCCTGCTATTCCTAATTTCCACCCAAATGGATTCAACATTTTGTTCAGTAGAACCTATATCATCTCTCACTACCGCCCTGATATCATCCTTAAAAATCAGAGCAACACCACCTCTCTTACCTTCCTGTCTGTCTGTCCTTCCGAACAGTTTGATACCCCTGGATATTTAACTCCCAGTCATGACCATCCTGTAACCGTGTCTCTGTAATGGCCACTAAATCATACCCATTTGCCATGATTTGCACCGTCAACTCATCCACCTTGTTTCGAATGCTCTGAGCATTCAGATAAAGTGCCCTTATGCCAGTTTTTGCACCTTCTTTTTGGGTCCTATTACCTCCATTACTAACAGCTCTTGAGTTCTCCTTCCCTTTAACTTTTTTCCTAATTAAGATTTTTCCTTAACTGAGATAAAGTTTATTACATGGTAACAACAATGGTATAAGTTACATTAATGTGATGGACTTTGCTACAGAAAATATGAGGAAGGCCCAGATGGTTGGTTTTACTCCTTTGAGATCTTAAGCTGTTCTCCCACCAAGTATGTATGACATCATCATTGTGTATGGTGCTTAAAGCACTCCTTAGTGTTAACCATTTCAGACCCATAGACGGCAAAGAAAGTCGAGCTCAAGTGTATAAAATTTCTACCATGATGATTATACATGGCTTCAGGAAGGTAGTACTTGAAGGAGGCAAATGGGACCTTTGACTCTCAAAAAACAGATCAGCTAATCTTTGAATGAACCAAGGGCATTGACAACCTAACAGCAGCAAAGCAAGTCAATGAAAAAGCGATAACTCACACAATAACAGGTGATTACTGGTAAATCACAATACATAAACTAATATCATTTCCCGATCGACAAGCAAGAGTGTTGGAAGCCTGAATTTAATTTCACAGCTTCTTAAGATCCGTCCAATCAACAAAAAAAAACTTCCATTGTATTGTTTAAAATCTAACTTTTTTTAAATTCACTCATAGGATGAGGGTGTCACGGATTTAGGAATTTTTTGGCATCATATTTCCCTGTGTCACACTCCTGTCTGCCTCCACACGAGTTCAGTTTTTGTAACTGAATAAACGTTAAGCAAATTTTCTGCTCGGTTACACATAGGTATAACCAGTGGAAATTAGCTGTAAATATGCACAGTATAGCATTATGCCAGATCTCTGCCATCTTAATGCCTCACTTATTTTTCCTGTATTTCATGTGGAGTCAGAGGGGCCTACTAATTTATGAATTACGATACTTAAATTAGATTCCAATGGTACAATTATTTGTCCACACAATTTGCAAGTGTTGTCTCCATAATAATAAAACTGGTCCACATAAAATGGATTTCAGTACTCATGACTTCTGGAGGCTAGTGCTTTGTTACAAAGTGAAATAAAAGACATATACAAAGACACCTTGCTGTGTTTTGAGACTATGATTTTGTTGACTTTTGACCTTTTTAGTCAGATCACTACCGATTGCTCAGAAAGCATGGTCCCAAGCATTTTCGCACTGCAGCATTTTGGAAATGTCTACTATATTGATTCAAGAGAATAACCAAGTGAAATTATTCTTTAATTTTTTTTATCAAGGAGCAAGTGAAGGATACCAGGCTGCTTATGCTTCACAATAGCCAGATTTCAGCTGCTGGATTATATTAAAGCTGTAATTCTAGGCAAATATACGAGGAAAGCAGTAACAGAGCTATGCCATCTGCAGCAAGGATATGTACAGCTAATATGTGGTATAGATGTGGTACTACCAATTGTATTAACAGTCAACTATGCCTTCAGGTTCTCTGTCTTCACCTCTTTCAGATATACCGTATTGGAGTTCAGTGAGTAAAGTGTCTGAGGTGTTTAACAAGGCTGCTTCCTGCTTAATAATTGTTATAGTACCATCACTATTGCCAGCCATGAATGTTATGCTGCTTTACCCCTTGGGAAGAGACAGTTTTACAATAGCAGAGGGTAACAGCCACTGGATAACACAGGCATTTTCTAAACCTAAATGATTTTTGAAAGTACATAAATTTTATATTCCTTTAGAAAGGTGACCAACAATTTAATTCACCAAGTTGGTTAGTAAACTGTAAGTGGTCACACTTCATATTATTTACCATTCTTTGTAATGAATCCTTAAAAATAACCAGGCATTTTACCTCAAATGTATGGACAAATAACAGGGAACTGTACTATTTAATAACAAACTTATGATAAACTGGTGTGCTTTTTACTATATAAATGCTATAAATGTGGTGAAGGGTTTGATGCACTGGAAATAAATTTGTGTTCAGCTCTGTTCCAGTTTCAAGCTGATGCATGCAGCTCTTCAATCAGTTTGACATTAGTAATTGGCATTAGGAATTAGTAATCATAATTATTAATAATTGTTTTGACTTTTAAGGGACTAACCGACACAAAAATCACAGAATGTGGAGCTCGCATCAGTAATTCCAACATCTCAGTGCTTTGTGTGCCAAGCCAGAGTCAGCTAAGTGATGCCTGTTCTCAGACTTCTCTGCATTGCAGTGTCAGTCAGCTAATTGATACCCATGACAGAAAATCCCTCATTGAAGACTCAGTTTGGGACTCCCTTGGACAGGGTCGTGACAGTGGGATGGTAATTAAGTTATAAACATGTATAGTGTTAAATATTTATAAAAAGCATAGGGGATGAAATAGGTCAGAGCCATCACTGCATGATAGAACAACAGGGAATCATCATCCCATCTTTTATCACTGAGCCCAGTTCACTTTTCCATTCAAGTCAGTAGAGGAAAAAAAAAATGGAATGGTGTAGAAGAGGCTGAAAGTTTGTTTTTGGTGCCTTTTGCATTAGTCATTACTCAGTTTCATTCTTTTTCTTAATGTAATCATTGACTTAGTCCCATTTCAGAGTTGAATTTGATTAATCTGGAGTCCAGTATAAATCATGATTACAGAAGAAGTGATTAACCAGATATAAAAAGATGAAAACCTTGCTAATTCAGGAAATTCATCGTGAAATCTAAGAATGCTGAAAGTAGAGAATGTTTCCTAGTGTGGGGAAGAGCATAACAAGAGGCCAAACACATAAGATCTTCAAGAACTCCAAAAGGGAATTCAGAAATAAACTTCTTTATCTATAGAGTGCTGACAATGTAGAACTTACTACCCAGGAGGGCAGTTGTATGAATAGTGTAGATAAATTTCAAGGGAAACGAGACAAGCACATGAGGAAGAAGGAAATAAAGGGTTATGATGATAAATTTGATTAAGGAAAGATAGGAGGAAGTTTGAAAGAAGCATTAATGCTTATATGGACTGTCCGGCTGAATGGCCTGTTTTTGTGCTGTATCTCTATGTATCTATACAGTAATCAATGTCTGAATAGAGAAAAGACTGTTTAATTGTGTGATTGAATTCAATGCATATCAAACTAGACCATCCACATAATTTGACTGAGCGTATATCTAATCCTGTACAAGAGTGTGTGTTTGTTGTAAATGAATGATGCTTATCTAACGTGATTTTTATTTCTCCTCCAGTTCCCAGATGATGAAGAACTATTTGAGTCAATTAAAGGTTTTAGTTCAGTTACAAAAGAGCACACAATATTCACAGACACTCAGTTGTAAGAAGAATTTTCATAAAGCCAACAGTGCTAGAAAAACTCAGCAGGTCTGGCAGCAGCTGTGGTGGAAGAAACAGAGTTAATATGGAACTTCTTTGGAACTGAAAAGAGTTGAAAAGTGACAGATTTTATACTACTTTGCTTTTATACTAATTTGCTTTTGTTTTACTGTTTGAAGCATTTTTTGTTTCTAGGTTTCAAAATGTATTGATAAATAAATTAGTTATTGATATGTATTGAGTAAGTCAAAGATAATTAATTGATGGTCACCATTGTGAGTATTGTGTTGTATTTGCATTTGGACTGCTTTTACGTAATTTTCATTCTGGTGAGCTTTTCATTGTCATAGTTCATAATGTGATGACCCTACTGTCCAGCAGAGGGCCCTATGTTAGTAGCAATTGATGTTGAATATATTACTCAACTTTGCCTGAAGTAAATTCATACTTCTGATAAGATAGTAATACAAGCACTTAAAGTTCATACATTTTTGAAAATCAAACTACAATCTATAAACAAATTAATCATTGTACAAACTAGCTCTGTCAGCTATTTGTATTTTCCATGCAGTCTCATTTCTATGATCAGGTACAAACGACATAATCCTTCACTAAGGGCAGGGTCTGATTGTCTGATTCTTGAATGCAGTGTGTTTCCTGGTAAATCACAGTTGCTTTGGTAGCATTTTTCCACTGACATTTATGGAAAGAAAATTTGCAGGCAGTGCACCTGTCAGTCACCCCAAGTTCCAGGCCTTGCCAATGAAACGAGGACTGAGCAAGTTTCATTTACGCATGAAACCTTTCATCAATATGGCACCATGAAAAGCTTTGCACGTTATATTTTATTCAAAGTTGCAAACCCCGTGGAACTACCTGGACTGTTCTGAAGCAGAGTCACTGAATCCAAAACATTGATTCTGCTTTCTCGCCACAGATGCTGCTACACCTGCTAAATTTTTCGAGCAATTTCTGCTTTTGTTTCAGATTTTCAGCATCTACAGTTCTTTGTTTCATTAGAGCAAGTACCTAGGTTCAGATAGAGCATCGCTGGCTTTTAGCACCAACAATGGTGTGATACCTCTTTATGTTGGGGTTTTAGAAACAGTGAACAATGAGGAAAGTGAAATGAAAACCGAACAGCGAACCTTTTTGATAATATCACAGTATTTGTCATGTAGCCATTCATATCTTTTAATTCATCTCACCATAAAGAAAAGCCACCTTGATTGAACTTTAATAAAGTGGCTTATTTGTGAGACGGTTATGCTAACAATTTGAAATTGCATATTTAAAGATGCTGAAATGCTCAACAAATTGAAAAAAGGGTAAAATTTTGGGTGGGATCCTTCATCAATGTTGTGAGGAATTACCCACACATTGTACATCATACTGTCAGTGGTGACTACTGCATTTATATTTTTTTCCTCAAAAACTGACTCCTCATGTACTGTGTACAAATTAACTGAAACATATTCAGGTTTTATTCCCAAGTGATTAATACAAAACAAATCTTTTAAAACAAAGTAGCTACTGGATTCTGTGATGTTATGTTTTTATTTCCTAAGAGGAATTGTTGTACTTTAGCTTGCCAGATCTACAGTCTAAATGTGAAACTTGAACATGGTGTAAGTGTCAGAACATGTAAGTCACACTTACTAACTGATGATCAGTATACATGTTTCTGAGGTTTAGTGATGGAACTTTTTGCATTGAAGTAGAATGGAGAACAACAGCCTCATCAAACGAGAAAACTCTCAGGGCGTTACTGGTTTATAAAGAAAATCAGGTCACCCACACCCATCAGGAGGATGTTGATGAGCAAGCAACATGATCAACAAAAGCAAGCTGACAAGTGCTGTATATGAATAACTTGAAATGAGAGCCATGGGTATTGTAAACTCTCTATGGACTTAAATTTAAATGAAACAGTATTGCTCATGCAGTTATTGGAACCAAGGTTTTTTTTTGAAAAAAGAACATTAATCAAGGCACATTTATGTACAGATCTATGCTGCACCAGGTTTCTGAAATGGACCATGCATTTAACCAGACAACATATAGATTTCATTGCTTTGTGTGGGTTTGCACTTACAAATCTCATCAGTGTACTTCAAAACCTACAGCCAATCCATAACACAAAAGAATTGCAGTGTTTTGAAAGAGAATGAGGTGAATTTTCGGAGAAGATAATAAGATCACAAAGAAGTGAGTTTAACATTGGGCCAACATTGTATGAGTCAGTGATAAATCTCAGTCCCATAATTCTGCCAGTTTCTGGAAAACTTACTAAAAGGAGGCAATTATGTATGCAGGTAGTCCTTAGCGGTCTAACGCTGCTTTATCACGTTGCAACTTAAAGTTGTCTGTTTGCACTTTAAAACACTCTCCGTAGACTATTGTTAGTGTCACAAGCTGGATACAGAGGATCATGTTAAGTCTATTTACCCCAGATGCTCATGTGGTAAAAAGAATAACCTTTTCTGCATTTAATACAAGCCAATTTCTCACAATTGGACAGTTCTTTCACAGCTGATCATGCAACATAGATTTAAGCTACAACTTACAACTGACTTGTAATTTCAAAGGTATCCACTTCAAAATGGTTATAAAACTATCAATCTCCATACTTAGTCTCTTATATTCCAAATTCCACAGTCCATCTTGTGTATCAGTAACAATCAATGAGTCCAGACTTTGAAACGTGCAGAAATGTGATGATGGTTGACAGTCATGTGTGTTGTTCCTAATCAGTAAAATCAAAAGGCCATATTGGACTGTTCATCAGTTGACTGTTTAATAAATGGGTAACATTAATTAACTAAATATCCACGTCTGAGCAAAACATATGAACGTGAATGAAAGGCACTCTAAAAGCGGGGAATGGTTCTTCATTGGTATTGTTCAAATTTGATACAAACCTTGCAAATGATAAGTAGGAAAAATGAATCTGAAATGATTATAAAAGATGACTAAGTTGTGGATTTAATCATCAACTAATGCAGTTACAATAATTACGACAATTTGTTAAAAAAAAATCGAGTACTGCAAAAGGAATGGCACTGTTCCTATTATTTAGGTTCAAACTGTGATTATTTCATAGCCTTTTCAATTGTATTAGCAACTCTATTTTTTGCAATGTCTAGAGTCACAATGAATATGGGGGCAGTCCAAAGCTCAATGTGGCTTTAAATGCATCAGTGTGAAAAAACAGAAAAATTTGTGTTTTCAAAATAATGTCTAAGGCCGTGTGTTTTGTCAGTTTTTCTAAGGGTCTTAAACAAAACAAATCTGAAGTGTCAAACCTGTTCATCTTGCTAAGTATTTTTGTGCGAAATTGAATATTTTAGCAAATGTTTATTTTGCATATTTAAATTTGTGGGCCCAGGAATTAAAGCGTTTTAAAGACCAGATGCCTTCAGTATGGCATATTGGATCAGATTGTCTGGGTAACATGGGCACAGACCAACATTAATATAAACAGTCACAATAGTATTAAAATAAGGATCCTGATTGTTTAGTTGGAAAATTGCTTTCTCCTAATAATTTATCCATGATGTGACAAACTGGAACAACAAATCCTTTGCCAACAGCAGCCTTCAGTCATTGCATTTATAGGGATCACCACTCTAAACAGGGTGTTGCTGTTTACTGAATCCTCTGAGGTTGCAGGTTAAAATTACTAGTGGCCCAGAAGTTTGCAATGTAGCAATCACATAGAGCTGATGCTTCATTGCTCTTGTTTTCTCCATAAACTATTTTGTTCTTTGGTAGGAGGGATCTTTGATCATGTTGGCAGCGTTTCCGCGGCAATCAGAAGTGTAAATGGAATCCATGGATGGAAGGTTGGCTTCTGTGATTGTCTGGGCTGTGCACACAGTCTTCTGTAGTTTCTTATAGTCCTGGGCAGAACAGTTGCCATACCAGGCCATTATGCACCTGGATAGTATGCTTTCTATGGTGCATTTTTAAAAGTTTGTTAGGGTCCTTATGGACATACCAAATTTTCTAAGCCGCCTGAGGAAGAGGAGGCATGGTGTTGCTATGGCCATTTCAGGGGATAGTTAAGAGTCAACTATATTGCTGTGGGTCTGGGGTCACATGTAGGCCAGACCATTTAAGGATGGCAGATTTCTTTTCCTGAAGGACATCAGCAATCCAGATAGGTTTTTACTAAAATTACAAGAGTTACATGGTTGCCGTTAAGCCAGATTAAATTCCATTATGTTTAAATTGAAATCAAATTTTCATCAATGGCTTAGATGAGGAGAAGGCATGGCATCTAAACTCACAGATAACACCAAGATGGGTAGGAAAATATGTTGTGAAGATGACTTAAGGTGATTGCAGACAATTGTAAATAGGCTGGATGACTGAGCAAAAATCTGGCAGGAGTAAAATATGGAAAAATATGACATTGTTCACATTGGCAATAATAAAACTGGTATCACTTAAACAGAGAATGACTGTGGTGCAGAGGGATTCAGGTGTTCTACTGTATGAGACACAAAAGATTAGCTTGCAGATACAGCACATCATTCAGAAGACATGAATAGTCTTCAGTACAAGAGGAACAGAACATAAAAGGATGTTATGCTTCTGTCATACAGACTATTGGTGAGAAAACATCTCTAATACCATGTATTGTTTTGGTCTCTTTTTTTGGAAGCAGTTGAAAAGTGTACTAAATTAATACCCAGAAAGAGTGGGTTCTTTTATAAGGATAGACTCGGTTTCATAAGAGTTTAGAAATGTGGTGGGTAGCTTGATGAAAGTATACAAGATCCTGAATTGTCTGACAAGTTGAACATCAAAATGACATTTTCTGTTGTGCTCAGTCCATTTTAAAATTAGGGTAGTACCTTTTCTAATAGAAATGAGAAGATTTTATTTCTCTTCCTGAGGTTTTTTGAGGCTCTTTTTAAGGCTTTCTGAACAGCCAGCAGTCTTTGTGGAGATGGAAGAGCGACCTACACACTGAGCATACAGACTCCATTTTATGAAAGAGATTATTTACTCATAGCAAGCGGTTATCAACGGTAAGGCCGTTTACTGCAGATTCTTCTTAATCGCTCTAGAGACATGATGAACTACCTTCCTGAATTGCTATACTGTGTTGTATAAGTGCCTGTACGGTGCAATTGGATAGGATGTTATTAGGATTTTGACCTAGTTACAGTAAGCAAAGGGCATATAGTTCCAAGCCAGGTGTGATAAAATGGCAATATATACACAAACTCTTTTTCACTGAGAGTTTGACCTGTGGGAACTTTACGTTGGACGTGTATTTGTAGCTGGCAATTGGCTTTTGAAGGGAAACAAACTATAATACCCATAATTCCAAGCATGCAGAAGTTATGTAGAGTTCTTGGGAACTACCCAGAGGGTTAGGGAGAGAACTTTGCAGAGTCAGTCAGTCAGTCAGACAGATTGTGATGGGAGTCGTCAATAAGAAGCATATATTAAGCTCTGAAGTGATGAGAAGATATTTGATAATGTGCTAAGCAGCATCCCTAAAGAGTTTAAAGTAATAAAACTATAATTCTTAATCCCAGACCTGAGCATTGAGATACAATCGATAGAGAGTTGTCTTTTTGAAGCTTAACAGAAAGGAAAAGGAATTGAAGCTGCAGGAGAGATGGTATATCACTAGACGAATCAAAGTCAGGTGCATAACACATTCTTAATTATTATCTACAGGTCCAGCAGAGGATTTGAAATTTTAATAGTTTTAATACTTCAAAGGGCTTGAAACAAACAGAAAAATCTCTCAGAACTGAGCTGGCTAGATCTTGTTAGAGTGCAATACTGGATGGTCTTGGAATTGCAACAATATTTGGAAACTGTATCAGATAGATTAATTCTATATGGATCATTTTTACAGTGTTTAAAATCTTTGGAGCTGTGTGGGTTTTTTTCCTCCCTTGTTAATCTTCATTTCTGGTGTTAATAAACTTTATCATTAAAACAGGCAAGGTTGCAGTCTTTGTTTACGTTTTAATACAAGATCACCTCGGTCCTAACCTTTTCCCTTGGAAATGAGCCACCACTAACTGGTACGTCTCCTAAGTCCCAACTGCCAGTACGCATATCTTCGGCTACAACATTCTCCCAACTCCAAAGTAAAATTACTTGCTCTCTGAGCAAATTGCAGATAAATTGAAACCAAAGAACCTTAAGTTCGACCCATCAGTATGAGCTATCCCTAACTTGATCTTTAGGTACGACATTCTACAATTTCTTCTTTGATCTAATGAAGTAAATTGGTTTTACAGTCTTTCAGAATTCACAAATGCTTTATTTCCAAAGCTGTTTTCACATTTCCAGCTGTTAACCTCTGTGTACTGACTCTAAGCATACAAGAGTAACAGGCTTCTGGATGTTTCATTTGTTTTATCCCATTTCGAGTTAAAATTTAATTTCTAAAATTCTAATTAGAATAGGATCATGAACTGGATTTTTGCACCATTGTAACTTGGAGAACTTACAGGTGAAGGTGTACCTATGTGCCTACTAGATGCGACAAACGCTGTTGAAGGAGCCTTATAGATTTACTGGAATGCATCTTGTCGATGCACACCTATGGCCATACAGCACCACTGGTGGTGGGAGTGAATAGTTAAACCATTCAATGTGATGCTAATTTAACAGTCTTTGCCATGATAATTTGTAATGCGTCGAACACCTTTCTTTACATTCATTGGCATTACCAAACTTCAATCCCGCATCGTCAACATTGCAACGTCTGCATCTATATCATTCCTCTGTACCATTAGCACTCCCTACACCTTTGGCTCTGGGCAATCTCACCATCCTTTCCACTTGCTTTTTTTCTCCCATTGTCAACAGCGAAAAAAAAACATTATTTTCCAAACGCCCTTTAGTTCTGAAGTATTATATTGGACAAAACATTACCTTTGTTTTTCCTCAGATTATGCCTGGTTTGCTGAGTTCCTGCAGCATTCTGTTCTTATTGTTATTTAGTTATCACCTTCTGGAACAATGAAATGGATTAAAATTATAGTAGGTGGATTTCATTACAACTGGAATTAAGGAGCCTCAGTTAATACTACATTCGCCTGGAGCTTGGTTCATTGCCCTGAAAGACTGGACAAAAATTTTCCAAACTTCCCCTTTTCCAATTAAATGTATTATTGGAATGTTTGTGCAGTACCCGAATGGAACATGCCTAGAACAGAAGTGGCTTGACAGACTAGGCTTTTTTTGTGAATACTTTTCATGGGTTTGCATCTTGAATTACATTCATACTGCTACAATGTTGAAGCCAGCATGTGGCTCCTTGCTGTGTGCAAATTTGCTGCCCTGTTCCATAAACTGCAAGAGGGGCTAATGGTCATCGAAAAACCAAACAGAAATAATTCTTTTTCCTGAGAAGATTCTCATTTACACTGTAGAAATTTTGATACAGGAAATTTTAGCAACCATAAGTGAATGGGATATCAGAAAGTTTCTGTAGAGTGTGCACATTGGCAATAATGAATTAAAATCCACTTACATTATTGTTTAACAGCTCTATTTTTAATTTATCATTAGAATCTGTTACAGTGAAACAGGATATGGAGTGCAAGAGTTACAAAATTCTGTAGTTACACAATCTCACGTGAATTAAGTTCTTTGCTGCAGAGCTGTGCAAACTGCTTTTAAAAATGTTGATTAATCAATCATTGGTGTCATAGAACAATCCACGAGCAGAGACACCAGTATGTTCTTAGTTCAGATCTGAAGTATTAAATTGCACCTGAGGAACTTTTGGTTACCAATTATTTCTTCTGGTATTTTCTAATATAGATACCAAACCCACTTGAGAAATTCCCACTTTGGTTGAGATATTACAAAGTTAGCAAGATGCTAATAAAACTTGGAAATAAAAACACCCAAACAGACATATTTGTCCAAAGAGACTTGAAGTGTGTCAAAATCATTGTCTATGCAGACTTTGATAAGATAAAAATGATCAGCGTCCATGCTGAGACTTTGGCTGTTTACCCTGGAATTGTAGAGAAACAGAACTCTGCCAACAAGCTCATTTTGCAATACGTACACTAAAATACTCTAGCTCATTCAGGTGTTGTGCAAAATGTTTCAGTTTTACGTGCAGTGGATCGTCTGTTGTCCAGATCTCAACCCATCTCCAAGCAAATAAAAAGGATGTTATTTACATGAAGCAGTAAGTTCGGATTTTTTGTCACATTGGTATTTTCTAATCAATGTGTTCAGAGCACTTCTGGAGCAGGTGGGACTTGACTCCTAAGTCACCACAAGAATCATTTTTTAAAAAAGTCAAACAGGATAAATTGGTACCATGTGCGAATGGTTAATTGGCTAGTATGTTTTGAATTCAAGTAACTGGTAGGGGTATTTGATAAAGCAGATCAAATTTTATCCTCTACTTTTCAAAATGTATTAGGTTCTCTGATCATACTGACTAATTAATTGTTTAGTTTCAAATAAACATTAGGGACTACCACAAAGCTTGATGTAAGCAGGGCTATTAAGTGTCTATCATGTTTGACTTTTAAATATCTAAATTTTGGAAGTTTTTTTTTAGAAAATGGTTTTCTCCATCATCTGTCTTGTGCAAATGAGGTGCTGGGCTTTTCCCTTTCATGCACTGTACAGATTGCATAGAATTCATCTTTCTAAATAGAAAGATGAACTTTCATTTGAATGATGGAAATAAAAGCTCCAATTTGGACCTGTACCAAAAACACCATCATGCTAACCACATCGATTGGGAATATCTAAGTAGAAGTAATGCCTCTACAAGTGAGTTATTTCTTCCCCATTGTTAGAATAGTTACTGATGCTGGTGTCACGTAGCATTTGGTTAAGATCTCCAGTTGGCTTTATTCCATGTTCACAGTACAATGTTGTATTTAAGAGAATTGTCTACAGCCAAAACTCATCCAAAACACCTTCATATAAACTCCACTGGTATTATTGCTAATTCAGTCAGCATATGACAGTGTGCTGCAGACAAATAAAAATAAGCACTATGATGAGTTAATTTAGTCTGTACCACTCATGTTCTAACTTTAATTAAATATAGATCATTTAATAAAAGCAATGCAGTATTGAATATTTCATTTCAGTGATTTTTTTTCTATGCAAGTTAACTCCTTCATGTTTGTAGCATTTTTGACTTGGAAATCTTCTAGGTAATGTATTTGATAGACATTTACTTTTTTTGTTTCAATACCACCCCATCAGGTCCTTAAAGTTTTTGCTTGTGTATTTGAGTAAATGCATTTTGAAGCTATCCAGATCAAACAATGAATAAAAACAATTAGAATGGGACTTTACAACTTCAATATACCTAGATGTCTGCGCAAACAATATGTAAAAATTAGTGTGTATTACAATGGAAGCCAAATAATTGAGGCATTGACAAATTAAAAAAAAAATTTCAACCGGCTCAGTTACTAGGGAGTAAACACCTTGTGTCAGTTTTCATAACAATGCTTATGCTGGTGTTTAGTGTATACTAAAATGCTGTAATGCAACAAAATAAATGTTTAAACAAAATAATACTGGCAAAAAAAGTAGTAACTCTTTGAACTTGAAACAGATGTTAGTGTAACAACGTATTTGCATGTGAATACTGTAGCATTATAAGTTCTTGTCAATTAAAATCCAAGCTCCTTTTTAGGTGACTCACAAACTGTGGTCCTGACAAGAAGCCTCAACCTTCTTGTGGCGAGGAGAAGTGGCTCCCTTTGTTGGTGATTGTGAGGATGCACCTTGCGGCTCACTGCCTGTTTCAGGACCATTTGGACATGATGCCAACGGCTGAGCTACAACAGTTTTTTTCCTGCTCAAAAACCCTCCTTCAAAAGTACTTTTCTTCTTGTTTTCAATTTTATCAGTTTCTTCATCCTGCCCCTTTTTCTTCAAGTCAGCCAGACTTTCGCTTGCTTTCAGAGCCTCTGGTGCCCTATCCAAACTTCTTGCTCGAGTGTCAGTCACCTGGCTCTTCCTGTCACTACTGCTACATTCAGTGACTCCAAACTTCTTTCCTTTTAGCTCACCTTCTGTCTGTATTGAAGAATCACTGTCAGAAGCAATGCTCCCTTTATCCAATATGTTTTTATTGAATGTAAATGGCTGAAAGTCTCGATAACTGTGAAAGCTTTCTGTACGCCTTGCTCTTGCAAGCAATGGGCTCTCCCTATATGGTCTCACAGAACCATATGTTGCAGTTTCATGAAGAGTGTCGGCAGTCTGAAGCTGAAGACTGAGGAAGGATATAAACCAGAAAATCAGATTTTTACTAAGTAAAATTAATATGGTGTATGTTAAGACATTACCAACAAAATGTTAAAGAAAATCAATTTTTTTATTATAAGGTTGCTGCCAATTTTATTCTATTACAGATTGTCTCATGGCTCAGTGGGTAGTGGACTTCTGAATCTAGAAGCTCTGGCTTAAAAGTTTCATTCCAGGATTTGTTGGCCATGGAAGAAGTGTTAATGACATTGTTCGACAGGTTTATAATCAGCCCATTAATCCTTCAACACTTCCCAAAAGAAAAAATGCATAAAGATACAAAAACAATCAAATAAAACTCTTTAAAAAAGTTATAAAATTAGTAGTGCATTAAGATTCACTTTCATGCCAAATTTGGAGATCATACTTCATTTTCAGAATGTGAGCTTGTTACATACAAGGCATGATTGGGATACCACAATAATGCAATTTCAAACTGGATGTAAGTATTAGCTTCATAGTGCACTGTTACAGTGTATTATTATTGCTCTGCATCACTCCAGTGTTTTTGATTTCACCTTTATTCTAGTACAAAGAAGGGTAAACAATAAAAAGGAAAAAGCACTGCTAATGTACGAGGATACTTTTCAGTCTCCAAACTCTTTCATTGAGATATTTTCCCATTTCTGTCATGTTCACTATCAAGACTACTAATTAAAGTACAAAAGCCAAAAACAATGGGCAGAATCTTCTGGCATTGGTCTCTGCCTGAACAGCAGGACCATTTTTCAGGTCAGGAATCCAATTTACTAATGGGCAGGCAGCCTTAATTTTGGATTTTTCAAATCAGTTATGCATTAATATTCCAATTAGGAAGGGACAGCAGAATGATCCATCCATTTCGTGAAATGTCAGGTTCAAGCTTTCCATGGCAAATCAAATTAAAAAGAGTAAGATGCAAGGTTGCAGGCACTGTACACAAAAGTATAAAAAGTGGGAATGAGAGTAACATTCGGTAGCTATACATAGATTTGGAAGAAATGTGTGAAGCATACCCAGATTTTGAAAGGTACGTAGAAAAGAAAGGCACATGGATAGATACACTAAAGAACAAAGAGGCTGAGTGTAACAGAGAACAGAAAGGAATGGAAATTGTTAATAAAGTCAAAAAAGAGATAAATAGAAAATTTGGAAGATACACTAAAGAGCATGAAAAGGAGAAAGAAATAATTACAGAATATAAGACAGCGAGAAATACAGCTGTAGAAGGTATTTTTTTCTTTGTCTCATCCACATTGCCACTGAAGTTAAAGTAATTCTGGTACACAGTTCCTTGTCTTATGAGGCATACAATAACTTCATGGCATTGACAATAATGTAATCAGGAAACATTAAAACGTGCAAAATGCTGCTACTGTTTTCCTTCAGCTGATACTCAGTGATTTGGCTATTAGCCTCCACAGAACATCAGTATTGCTATTCAGGTCAGCATTTATTGTCCATCTGTTATTGTCTTCAAGAAGATGGTGGTGAGCCACCTTCTTGATTGCAATTAATTGTGCTGCCAGGGTACTCAAAAAACAAATTAAATGCCAAAGGAAGCCCTCATGATGAGTTTAACAAGTGTGTTCAGCACAGTTAACTAGAACAATAGGTTCTGAAACTTATTAGGGAAAAGGCTATTTGGGATCTGATATCGAAAAAGGATAACTAAACATATAGGAAAGAATCCTCTAGGCAAAGGCAATCATAACATGATGAATTTCACATTCAGCTTGAACGTAAGAAAGTAAAGCTCATAACTAGATTTTTAAGAAAAACTTAAATAAAGGTATTTACAAGGAGTGGAAGATACAGACGGCCCAAGCAGACTGGGTAAATAAGTTAAAATCCAAGACAGTAGAGAAGTAGTAATTAAGCAGGGATTTCATATTTTTCAATAAAATATACACTATTGAAGAAGATGGCTAGATGTACCATTGTGGCAAATTGCAGAAGTTAAGGGTGCTATTAAATTGAATGAAAACATCAGAAGCCTATGATTTGTGGTCGGCCAGAAGATTGTGAAAGTTTTAGAAATCAGCGAAGGAAGACAAAAAAAAGGGGAAAAATTAGAGTATGAGAGAAAATAAAAAATTACAAAAGCCAGTGTAAACTTCTACAAATACATAAGCAGTAGAACAGCAGCTAACTGAGCATTGTTTCTAGTTTCATCATTTAACCAAAGAAATGCAAAGGCTTTGAACAATTATCTTGTATCTGTTTGCACAGTGGAAGACACAATAAAGTATTGCGATAATTGAAAATCAAGAGGCAAAAACGGAAGAGAGGAATATAACACCAAGACTATCGTTAGAGGAAAACTGATGGAACTTAAGGCTGGCAAATCCCCTGAACATGGTAGACTACATTCTGGGATTTTTAGAAGAAATGACTACAGAGAAAGTGGATCAATCTATTTTAATCTTCCAAACTGTCCTAGATTCTGGGAAGGTCCCAGCAAATGTTAAACCTGCTCAAGAAAGGAGAGAGTTGAGAAACCGGGACATTATAAACCAGATAGCTTAACATCTGTGATTGGGAAAATGCTAAAATCTATTAAACAGATAGTCGCAGGAAATTTAGAAAATCAGAATTCCATCAGCAGAGTCACCATGGTTTTGCAAAAGAGAAAGAGCGTTTGAAAAAAATGAATTAAGCCAAGTATGAAACAAGCAGGGTGGATAAAGGGGGATGGCTAGATGTCATGTTTTTGGATTTTCAAAGCTACATTTGATAATGTGCCACAAAATGGCACAAGAGATCATGATGTGAGAGGTGATATATTAGCATGGATTGAAGACTGGTTAACTAATAGGAAAAAGAGTGCTGAAATAAATAGTCTATTTTCAGAATGCCAAACTGTAACTAGTGGTTGATGCTGGGCCTATTTAAGCTCTGTTCTAAAGACTCAGATGAAGAGACTGTATTGCATCCAAATTTGTTGATGATACAAAATTAGGTAGAAAAACCAGCGGTGAGGATGATACAAAGATCTCCAAAGGGACCTAGATAGGTTAAATGAGTGGGCAAAAAAAAAAAAATCATAGCTAACGATATGAATCAGGAGTAGGCTAATCAGCCAACCTGCTCCACCATTAAACATGTTCACGGCTGATCTGATTACAACCACAACTCCACATTTCCACCAACCCCCCAATTACCATCGACTTATTAGTGTTTTTAAAAAATCTCTTTACTTTAGCCCCAAAAATATTCAATGAATCTATCTCGACTGCTCCCTGGAGAAGAAAGCTATCAAAAATCATAATCCTCAAAGAAAACTGCATCCTCCTCTCAGTCTTAAAAGGAAGACCTGTGAATTTTGAACAGTGTCCCTTTGTTCAAATAGTTGAAATGCAATGAAGCAAAATATGAGGTTGTCCACTTTGTTAGGAAGAATAGAAAGAATAGAAAAAACAGAAAATTATTTAAAATGTCAAAGACTTTGGAATGCTGCATTTCCAAATGATTTGGGTGCCACTGTGCATATTTCTCTAAGATTCAGCATGGAGGTATGGCAAACATTGTGAACGCAACAGAATTTTGGGTTTTATTTCAAGGGATGAATGGAGCATAAATATAGGGAAGACTGTGAAGGCTTTGATCAGACAATAGCTAGAGTACTGAACACGTTGCAGATGCTAGGTAACATCGTCAGTCTGCCTCTGGTGAAGCGTTGGTGTTCTGTCCTGCTTGTTATTTATAAGCTTTGGTTTGCTGGGGTGGTTGGCATCTCTTGCAGTTTCGTTTTTCAGTGGTTTATATGTCAGGTCCAGTTCAATGTGTTTGTTGATGGAGTTCTGGTTGGAATGCCAGGCCTCCAGGAGGCCCACTGACGATGTTACCCAGCAGGGTGCTGAAACATCTGCAATCAAACACACCGGCTCAGCAAGCAAGTCTACAACCTCATCCACAACCCAAGCTACAAATCTTCTCAAAAACCTTGCACTGAAAACAATCTTGGTCACTTTCCTAACGAGGTAAATACTTGCACTGGAATCAGTTCAGAGAAGATTCATTACAGTGACTCCTGTGATGATAGATGGTTGTGTAGGTTGGACTTATACTCATTAACATGCAGAAAAATGAGAGACAATCTTATTGAAATATTTCAGATTCTGAGGGATTTGACAGGATAGATGTTGTGAGGATGTTTCGTCTAAGAGGGAGTCTAGACCGGGAGGTGCACTGTTCAAAATCAAGGGGATCTCCCACTTAAGACAGAAAGGAGGAAGAATTTCTTTCTTCAAAGGGTTATTCATTTTTGGAATTCTCTTCCCTAGAGGGTGATGGAAGCTAGGTCACTGACTATATTCATGACCGAATTAGACAGACTTCTGATTGACAAGTATGTCAAGGCTTGTGGGGCAGGTGTAGTGTAAACATGTATGTGTAAGCATGTGTGCGTAGTATTGGATAAGAGGCAAAGACAGGAAAAGGGAAATTAAGGCAACAATCATATCAGTCATGATCTAACTAAATGGTGAGACAGGCTTGAGGGGCTGAATTACACACTTTTTTTCTTACGATAAATAAAATACAAACTATATTGTTGTGGGTTTGGAAACTGCATTTAGGTCAGATTACGTAAGGATGGTAGATTGATGTCATTTCAGGAAGCAGTGAACCAGATGGTTCTTATAACAATTTGATAATTTAATGGCTATTACTGGTGCAAGCTCCTGTTGCAGATTTAATCTAGGTCATTGATTGTTGTGATAAGAATAAATTTAAAAATAATGAAAACGTATTTGCTCCCCCTAACACTTCTGAAGACTCCAAGTAAGAGAACCCGATTAGTATTACCAACTTGTTAAAGCTGTTATGCTAATGGTAAAAATGGATTACCAATTTTTAACTTCCATCATTTGAGTTTTAATACCCAGAACGTTTTGTGAAACAAAATGGCTTTTAAGAAGTGAAAGCACTGATTTAGGATGGCAATGATCACTGGCCAGGTTAGGTCAAACATCATGAAAGTATCAATAAACAAGAACTGATCTAAACTAGTCTGAAATTAACAGGTCATCAAAATAACAAGACACTCAGATCTGTATCTCCTGTTTGATTTACACCTTTCTGGATTAGTTTGACGTACTGTAGATGAAAGTCATATGCGACTTATCTCCACTTGGAAAACCAATGACGCTAAGCATGAGAACAGACAAATGAACTACATTTCAAGCAACTGCCTTTGAGCAGAACAAAGAGGTGAAATGGATTTCTAAAAGCAGAATTGAAAGATGATCTCTCCCCAATGTCTTTCAGTCTCTTGAAAGGCAACTCTCATTAGAAAAACAGTGATTCACTGGGAATACAAAGACATTTACAATTTTTCACTATAACTGAGGACACAAGATACCAATTAACTGTAGTCTCAGCTTAAAATTGAATACCGCACGAAACCTAAAGGCCTGTAAACTGAATATTAATTTGTCTTCCTTTCTGTACTAATTTCCTCCACTTTATTTTTAAAATCTTTATACCTATGTTTGGCGCCCCAGTTTATTGTTTTTCTTTCAGGGTTACTAAGTAATAAAATTTCTCTTTCCTTAACTCAAGAAAATCTTGGGATTGGTTCCTTAATTTTGAACTAATTAACTATGTGATATAGCTGCACACTAAAAGAAAGATTGCTGCTGATTAAGTGGGTTAAAGAATGGAGCCACTTCACCCCTCCTTACTTGGTCATAAAGGAGATTTATGAGAAATTTGTTAGTTCACTAAACTCTACATACTCCATGGAACTGCATGGAAAATGGGCAGCTTTGGAATTAGGTCTAGCTCATTTTAAACAGAAAGCAGGGACCCACAATAATATGAGAGGGAAAAGTGTCCAAATAAGAACATGTTTCACAATTAGTCAAAGAACCGTAACAGAAACGCTGTGACCGCATTATTTTTACATGATATAAGATCTTCAAAAGTAGAAAAGCAGCATCTACACTAACCGTTGGGACTATTATTTTTCTTCTCTAAAATTTCTGCTCTTGCTGTTAAAAGATAACGAATAAAATAGTCTGTTTGATAACCGTTACCTGGAGCTTGACTCCCGCAGTTTAGTATGTTGTACTAGTGAGGCAGCTGGACTGATGTTGGGAGTAGCACAGCGCGATGTGCTCAGATCACACTGATCCAGCAACTTCAACAGCTCTTCTTCCGTGGGGCCTCCAACATCTAAAAGAAATTAATTAATTTGTGAACCACATATACTTTTTTTTTAAACTAGCAGTGGATTCAATTAGTTATTTATTGCTATGAATAGGGCACTGAAGTAGACAATTTCACAACTGTATGGCCCACCTCACTTTTAGGTCAAGTTCGAACTTAAACACAATATTATTATCTGTATTTACTTTAACGATGATTATAGAGATGTAGGTACGTCTCCAACAGCTCAAAACTCTCAGATCACTTCACTTACATGATAAATATACGCAGGGCAAGGAATGTGAAACTATAGTAAAAACAGCCATTAAAATTAATCCAGCAATACCCATAACAGACCCTCATTTGAGTATCCAAGTACATGCATAATTGTACAAATTGCCAAATAACATTAAGTGGCCTGCACTGCCTTTGTTTAATCTTTTACATAAAAACGTGCTATAATTACCAGTTGTTGCAGGGTGACAGGATAATCCAGTTTCAGATTTTCAATACCATAAAGTATTCAAAGTCTGAACTTGTCACTTACAACTCTTATAAAACTACAATTGGATTACATCTTGTAATTCCTTATGGAGTCCCCTTACTCCTAGCTTCAACAGACAATATCTATTACTTGAAATGGAACTCACCAACAGCTATCCTTTTTTTAAACATGAACAGCATTTCCTGAAAACTCTCTGACATTCCCTATTTAATTTTGGCTATCGCAGCAGGTAGACTGAATTCAGAAACGCTTTGATTCGCTGTAGCCGCTTTGGTATACAACATTTCCTCCAGGTTCAGGGGGAGAGAGGGAGAGAAGACTAAACTCGAAAGCAGAGGATCACCAGCCATAGAGACAAGTGAGTATTGAGGGGATGCTGGTTAGATACCTAGCTCACTATTATGGGACTTTGTTAGAAGATTTTAGGCTTTCTAGCCATCACACTTCACATTGCCTCAACACTCCCCCAACTACCTCACATGGCCCCTTATACCAATACTAATTCAAGTACAAGGTTGGTTTAGCTCAGTTGGCTGGACAGTTGGCTTGCAAAGCAGCGTGATGTTGACAATACCAAGAACTGCAGATGCTGGAGTCAGAGTCAACAGTGTAGAGCTGGAGGAACACAGAAGGTCAGGCAGCATCAGAGGAGTAGAAAGATCAATGTTTCTGGTTGGGACCCTTCTTCAGAACTAAGGGTCCCGACGCAAAACGTTGACCTTCCTGCTCCTCTGATGCTGCCTGACCTGCTGTGTTCAGTGTGATGCCGAAAATGTGGATTCAATTCCCACACTGGCTAAGATTACCATGAAGGACTCTCCTTCTCAACCTCTTCCCTTGCCTGAGGTACGGTAGACCTCAGGTTAAATCACCAGTCGTTTCTCTCTCTCTCTGATTAGAGACCAGCCCTACGGTCTGGTAAGACAATGGTGACACAATACCAATTCAAATCCTATTGTACTCTCCATGCCAACTCGGCCTCGCACATGCTCCCCATGATTCCTCACACCTACACCCTGTAGCCATACCAGGAAATACTGGAAGTGTTAAGAATCCTTTAATTAGGCTCTGTCTACTATTTCTAAATTATGTTGGAGTTGTTCTAATCGTCCAAAACTCCAGGACTTTGAATCTATTAGTTCAATCATTGATGTAGTTCACTGCATTCATCCAATACATATAGATCATTCAGATAATGACTTATAACCAGCATGCATTGATGTTTGTCAACAAATCTTCAAAGGTTGATTAGAATATCAGCCATGTCACTGGATATCAGATAATCACCCCAACACTCAAAAAATACCTGCCCTTCTTTTGTAAAAGATGACTAGAGCCTGCTGGTAGGCAGAAACTACCAAAGTCTGAGAAAAAAAATACACATTTGAAGAAACTTGACTTTTAAAAGTAATACTATTTAAGACTGAGCAACATCAGAACTCCTCTGTGGTTTCAGGTACCTTAGCACCTTAGTTCCTGAGATTAAACCTCAAATACCATTTGACTAATATAGAAAAGAATTTAGTACCTAGATTACAAACTGAATACAGAAAGGCTATAAAACCATAAGATATAGGAATAGAATTAGGCTATTCAGCCAGCCAAGACTGCTCTGCTGTTCAATCGTAGCTGATTGGGGTTAAGAAACCTTTCTCCTGCTTTCTCCCTGTAACCTTTGATCCAGAACATCTCTCTGTATTTAATACACTCAATGGCTTAGCTTCCACAGCCTTCTGAGAAGAACTCAAGTACATTACAACTTCACACTTGTGATTCTGACATGAGCTATCCACAATCTACCACGTTTTTCCACAGTGTTTGAACAGGGTGTTAAATATACAGCAATTTCAAAATACTTAGTCAGATTTTCATCTCCCATTTGAATGCACTGGTTGATTTTACAGGTACAAGCAATAAAATAAAAAAAACATAAATTATGTCCATTACAAATTTACCTTAGAAAGAGCCCTTATCTTACCAGATGCCATTAGTAAACATACCAAAAAGATAATGTATCTCTGAACTGCAATGGCTCTGTTCCTAGTTGCAACAGACTTTTTTAAAACTCACCCTTGTCTTCCTTTTTGTTTACCATGTCCATAGCAGTCGTCAGGTCCCACATCTGAATGCTTCCATTTCCATGGCCTGTGAAGAGATACCTCCTTGGTCGAGAACCCATTCGACTAGAACCTTCACATTCCCTTACAGTAAATGCAGTTATTGTCATACCATCTACTGCCTGGATCTCGCAAATCCTGGAATTAAAAGTACCAAACAGCAGAATTTATGATGTTATTAGAAATTAAGGATAATCATCCCCAAAGATGGAGGAAGAAAAACTGGGCAAATGCTTTACCTTTTCCCTGTAGAGGACAAACGAACAAACAACTTGTTAGTAACTGGAACAACTTTCTGGATGAAAACCTGTTGATCATCTCTCTCCCCAAATGGTCCTATTGAAATACATAAAAATAAATGAAAAACTCAAAGTTGTCAGTGAACAGAATCATTTAAATATTACAGCACAAATGTGGGCCATTTGGCCTGGTGTATGTACTAGCCATCCAACTGAGTATAGTGCCACTCTCCTGGTTTTCTCCACAGTCTTGCATAATTGAACATAAACAATAATCATCTAACGCCCTCTTCAATGCCTCAATAGAACCTGCCTCCACCAAACTTACCGGCAGTGCATTCCAGCCCCGATCCATTTGAAAATGTTTTCTCTCATATTACGTTCATTTCTTTTTCAATTCACTTTAAATTTGGGCACTCATGTTCTTGACAATTATGAGTGAGCACAGTTTCTTCCTATCTACTCTCTTCAGCCCGATTATAATTTTGAAATCTATCAGAAGATCACTTAGCTTCTTCTCTTCAAGGATAATAGTCTGAACATCTCTGATTCTACGATCTTCAATCTATCTTCATAACTGATCTCCTGAAACCATTCTTGTACACCATAGGACCTACAGCCCAAAAAATATCTATTGATCATTAATCTCTGCTTCCCAGCCTATTTTGGATAAATGTTGCTACTTTTATTCCATGAACTATTAACTTTTGTCACAAGTGGGTTATTGGGTACTGTTGGAAGTCCATGCACACAACATCAACAGTATCATCGTTGTTGACCCATTCTGTCACTTCTCCAAAGCTTCCAACAAATTAATCAAACACAAATGGTGGTGTAGTGGACAGCGCAGAAGGTTACCTCAAAGTACACTGGGACCTCAATCAGATGGGTCAATGGGCCGAGGAGTGACAGATGGAGTTTAAGTTAGATAAATGTGAGGTGCTGCATTTTGGTAGGGCAAATCAGAGCAGGACTTATACCCTTAATGGTAAGATCCTGGAGAATGTTGTCGAACAAATAGACCTTGGAATGCAGGTTCACAGTTCGTTGAAAGTGGAGTTGCAGGCAGACAGGGTACTGAAGGAGGTGTTTGGTAAGCTTGCCTTTATTGGTCAGTGCGTTGAGTTGGGAGGTCATGTTGCAGCTATACAGGATATTGGACACGCCAATTTCGGAATACTGCATTCAGTTCCAATCTCCCTGCTATAAGGAGGATGCTGTTAAACTTGAAAAAGTGCAGAAAAGATTTACAACGATGTTGCCAGGTTGGAGGGTTTGTGCTATAGGGAGAGGTGAAATACGCTGGAGCTTCCCCCCACCCCTGGAGTGTCAGTGGCTAAGGGATGTAACTTCTATTATTCATCTAAACTCAAGTATTCAGGGTCCCTGATCAAACAGACACTGTATCCAGCAGATTGTTAAATACAGGATGTTTGCACAATTAACTTTCCCAATTTTCTTTGTATGTGTTGATCACTGTGTGAACCAAATGGCGAATGTTTTAATTTATTCCAAAAGAAAGAATTTTGTACTTTGAGATAAAAGTCAGGTGGAAAGTGAGGCCATTTGCACACAGTGCCATAAACACACCAAACTCGCACTGTTCTACTGAACTCCCACTTCCATTTGCTATACCAGAATATTTTACGGTCGTTTGAAAGAAATGATTAATATAGCAAAATTACAGTAACTTTTATAGCGTCACATCCACTAAAAACTGAGTTCAGATTCTCAATTTTAAGTCATTTTGATCATTTAACAATGATTAGACAAAACGTTCTGCTGACAATGTTTATTCCTAGTTTCTGCACTCAAGAAACAGAATCCCAATATTATAAGCAAGGCAGAGTGGGGGAAGCAAGATAATACTGAGTATTATGAAATGTTGGAAATTAGCATCTCTAAATAACACAACATTTGACACTTTGTTATACTTCCTAGTATTTTTAATTCAATAGGTTAATTCAATATTTACCAATATCATTTCCAGCTGCATAACTTCCATGACTCTCTGTCTCCTCTAATGAAAGAATTTTGAATGAAGCTAGTGGTGTAGAACCCGGCTGTGTGGAAATCATGCCTCTGAAACGAGTGACTGTCCAAGTCCTCACATGGTTATTATCGGCACACACTGCAGGATAAAGGCCATTAACCATATCAAGTCACTTCCAAAATTCACAGATAAATCAGAAAAGCAAAAATATTAAGATTCATTTTATAAATATTGAGAAATATAGGAGTACATAGTATTTACCAAATCTAAACACAAATGCCAGGGTAAGAACAAAGTTGCATGCCTTTCATATAGTTCACATTAGCAGTCGGAAGAGAACAAATCCAGTTTACAAAGAAAGTAAGTGTACCAACGTATACATGAAAAATGTCTCTGGCCAATATTGAAAAATAGAATAGATATTTTTCAAATGCGCTATAAATATAAACCTGTCAACTAACAAACATAACGATTTTCTCCAAAGTTTAGATCAGAATCCATGTATGATTTTACGACATATAACTTTCACTAGTGTACAAGCATAAAAATGGGTAGCTCTCAGTAATGCAATGGAGGAAACATTACAGTGTATGAACTGAAGTTGAAGATAATGAAGATCATGGACATCACTCATCTATGTAACTTAATTTAAGTGAATAAGGGTTCAAACATCAGAGGTGCAAAAGTGGGAAAAACATAGGGAGAAAAATGAAACTGATCTCCCTATTTGAAGGACAATGGAGTGGCGGAATTAAGTCACCAATGTCACGATCACGGATCAGAGCCCCAAAGTATCGTGAACATTTTTAACTTGCAATTCAAAACGTGGTTTTTAAAAGAAAGCTGACCCAGCCAAAAACAGCCGAGGATGGAAATTAACTGGCTGTCTGGAGCAAAGAACCCGTAGAATATCACAGCTGCAGAAGCAAAGGGAACATCAAACAACAGCCTTTCAAACGGGTGAAGAGGCAAGTCCAAACAGATTGGACTGTGATTTCTTGCGACTACAAAGATAACAAAGGGCTGACGATCCCCTGCTCAATAGCAAACTATGCCCTGTGGATTATCTCCTAAACTTCAGACAGATTTTGTTATTTTTGAATAACAAGGACAAGGGTTTAAAAAAAAATGTTTCAACTCCTGTAGCTTATGCTCATGGGAATGAACACTCAATTGTCTAACAGCCTGGGTTTGAGGCATTAGTATGCTTTGAAGGTCAGGCTTGAAGGATCATCTCCTGGACAACCTTGCGTTGTAGCTAAAGATAATCTCTCACTCCAAGTGCTACAAACCAGACAAAACAAAACACGACAATAAAAGAAACATTACAAAACCGACTCCTGCCATCTACGGTGAGGGCTAAACGACATTACAGGATACCAAATGAAACAGTGTAAGATAGCGGACAATGACACATCCCTCCCTGTTACGCTCAATGCTTTCTATGCTTGGTTTGAGCAGAATACCCCCAGTGTGGCGATGCGTACCCTGACAGCCCCAGGTACACCTGTTCCCTCCGTCACCACTTCAGGAGTCAGACCAGTCTTCCTGGGAGTAACCCCAAGGGAAGCAACGGGCGCGATGGTGTCCCCGGCCAAGCACTCAGATCCTGGCAGACCAACTTGCAGAGGTATTCACCAACATCTTCAAACTCTCCCTCCTACAAGCCGAAATCCCCACCTGCTTCAAGAAGACCACCATCAATCCCGTACCCAAGAAAACACATGCAGTGTACCTTAACGACTACTACCCAGTGGGTCTGACCTCAATAATCAGGAAGTGCTTCGAGAACCTGGTTATGGCCCACATCAACTCCAGTATCCCAACCTGCCTTGATCCCCTACAGTTTGCCTACCGACATAACAGATCCACAGAAGATGCCATAGCCCTAGCTCGGCACTCATCCCTGGAACATCTGGACAACAGACACCTACGTCAGACCTCTGCTCATTGACTACCGCTCCACCTTCAACACCATTATCCCCTCCAGACTGATCTCAAGACTGAGACAACTTTGTCTAGGCTCTGCCTTCTGCAACTAGATCCTCAGCTGTGACCCACAGACCACAGTCAGTGAGGATAGGTAACTGCACCTCCTTCACAATAACACTCAACACTGGAGTCCCCCATGGATGCGTCCTCAGCCCCTTACTGTACTCCGTGTTGCCAAATTCCAAACGAATGCCATCTATCAGTTCACTGACAACACTACTGTAGTGGGACAGATATCTAACAACAATGAGTCAAAATACAGAAGGGAAGATAGAAGGCTTGGTGACATGGTGCAATGAAAACAATCTGTCTCTCAACGTCAGCAAAACTAAAGAACTGATCATCGACTTCAGAAAGGAAGGAGAACACGCCCTCATCTACATCAATGGAACTGAGGCTGACAGAGTGAAGAGCTGTCCTGGACATCCCACGTAAATGTGACAGTGAAGAAGGCACAACAACGCCTCTTCTTCTTCAGGCAGCTCAGGAAATTTGGTCGGTCCATAAGGTCCCTCACCAACTTCTACAGATGCAGCACTAAAAGCATACTGTTCAGGTACATAATGGCCTGGTATGGCAACAGCTCTGCCCAGGACCGCAAGAAACTAGAGAAGGTGGTGTGCACAGTCCAGACCATCATGCAGGCCAACCTTCCATCCACAGACTGCACTTACATGGCTTGCTCCTGTAGAAAGGTGGCCAACACCATTAACGACCCATCGCACCCTGGTAATGACCTCTTATAACCTCTTCCGTCAGGCAGAAGATACAGAAGCCTGAACTCTCGCACAAACAGGTTCCGGAACAACTTCCTTCTGGCCATTATCAGACTGTTGAATGGACTCTAGCCTCAAATAATGTAACCTGTATGCCTCTAATTCTCTTTGATCTGTACATTCCTTGTTGCCGTGAGCTGCCAGTACCGCTCAAACGAAACTTTTCACTGTATTTCAGTAAACATGACAAGAAAATCAAAATCAAGCAAAAAAGGACTCTCTCTCATTCTGAATGTTGGAATTCAATTATTGTTGAAAAAAATTAGAACTATAGAACCTTAACTAATCTGCAAAGCAAGAGATCATGAAAGTGACTATTCACCTACCAAACACTGCTAGTAACCTGCAATGGTCAGGATGTTCAACCATCTGCACTTCGTAAACATCTCAGCAACTAATTCACATAGCTTTTAATCTTCATCTTTTTGGAGTTGCCCCTTATTACTAAACTGCATGTGTTGCTTTATTAATCTTTTTGATGTTTAGTAATTTATAAACTCACTTTTGGTTAACACAAGGAAGCCTGGTTAAACTGGCTCCTTCTAAGGCATATGCCTACTTGGATCTAGGACAAAGGCAGCCACAACAGAAGGGATTATTTTTAAATCAACTTTGCTGTGACCAACGAAGGATGGATGAATAAATAACGGACGCAGTTCATCCTTCCTCAGCCAGGAGTTTAACTGTTTGGGGGTATCTGCCTGGAACATGAATGAATTAAGGAACCTCCATGGGTATGGCCATAATGCTACAAGAGATTACCGAAGTGAATAATATCAGTCATTTCAAAAGCTGATGCACTTCTGAAAAGATATTAACAGATACAGCGAAACTCATGTCACCGTGTGTAGGGGTTGGGGGGGGGGGTCTAGTCCAACTAAAAGAATGTTCCTTTCCTAAAATTATTTGATCATAATCTTGCTTTGATTTCTCAGCATCCTAATTTCCATGGAATTTCTAATTTATAATTTGTTTTCCCATCGGGTTATTCATATATTTATAACAGAAAGCAATTAAAAACTTAAAAGCATAGACCAGCTACCAATCCTAAATATACAAGGACGGTAAAATGTAATTGGGAAGAAATTGGTGCAGCACAAATTAATAAAAACATAAACACAAGTCATCTCAAATCCAAATAAAGTCCACAAGCTTACCAGACACCAGATATTTTTCAGACAGCATGATTTTAGTTACAGGGCTTCGGTGAACTGTGAAGGTTTGGAAGAGCTGGGGACCTGACCCTACAGTTTCAGGATGCTGGACTATTACACGCACTGCACCAGAACTGGTTCCATATGCAATCTCAATCCAATTGCCGCTGACACCTGTAAATGGAACAAGATACATTTAATAATCATGTATTACTTGAAGTCTCCAAGCGTAATACTGGTTCTGGCTAAACATGTAAAAAGGGGAAGGAAGATACATTAGGCAACTGACATGCTAGGGTACAGCTACATTACTGTGCCACCCCAAGTAACCCTAGATAGTGAGTAGTGAAAAGCTATTTGTTTATGAAGTACGTTATGGCTGAGCCTAGCTTTGTTGTCACCAACACCGACATTTTTTTTTAAAGCAGTGGCATGGGTGAAGGCTTAGGGTATCAAAAACAACAGTTTTACTTTTACTAACAATCCAGCTTATATGGGATCTTAAGATTTGTTTTCTCCTACCGTGATGGCAGCTGAGAACCACAATTCTATCTACCCTCACCATTTCTCTTCTGTGGTTCTACGTTCATCCATTAGGATTCCAGTTTCCATAACATCATTTATTGCTTAGGAAAGCTAGGTTCTCACTGGAGCCTCTTATACTGTCTGAGATTTTGTCTGGTAATCTGAACTGAACAAATTAGAAATTTAAATTTTAATTAACAGACTATATCGGTCATTGACAACGTACATACTTGTCTTTGGAGTGAGGTACACACTTAATGCAGTGATAGCATCATTTGATGGATCATGATAAAGCTCAGTAACCAGAAGATCATTATCCTTCATCCTTAATGGGAACTTCTGCATGTCTAAAATACAGAAGATTATTGTTATTAATAACCAAATGCTATACTTTACATATGAAAAATAAAAACACTAACTCCAGTCTGGAATAGTTCGGAATAAGATACACCAAAGGGAAGGAGATGCCGGGGGTGGGGGGGGAAGTGTTGAAAAACTGGAAACAGATGTGTTTATGATTCTAGCTGACAGTAATACTAGACAGTCAGATCCCATCATGAAATCTGTCTTCATAGATCATAAATTTTATTTTTATTAATCAAGTTACCATGGTGGTCAGTCACTAAACATATTCACAAAGACCATCAACATAGATTTCACAATAGATCATAGATTTATTAGAAAAAAAGTCGGACAACAATGTGGAAGAATCTGAAAAAAGAAATCAACTTTTTCTTCCACCAACACCACACTTTACAGGCACTCAACCCTATAAATATCATTCTTACCTTCACTTTAAAATTTCTCACTCAACCAATGAGATCACAAGCCTTTCTTTTTAGTGACTTCCTGCAATTTTACCCAATCTGATTTTCTACGTTCCTCCCGAAGATACACAGACATGGGCTAACTCAGTAACTTTTACCCTTAGGAGCTCTGAGGGTTAATTCCACCGCCTTTCCCACCTATGTAAAATCCTCGCTATAAACGGATATCCCTGCAACTTCATCCGTAGATGCCTACTAAACAGACAACAGGAGGACACAATACGACCTAACACACTGGCCACACTGCCCTACATCAAGAACATATCGGACCTGACAACAAGACTCCTATGACCACTAGGAATCATGGTAGCTCACAAGCCCACAGCCACTCTATGACAAACACTTACAAGAATTAAAGACACCATTCCCATGACATGCAGAACCAACGTGGTTTACAAAATACTATGCAACGACTGCCACAAACATTACAATGGACAGACATGAAGGAAACTAGCCATCAGAATACACGAACATCATGTAGCAAAACAGCACGACAACCTCTCCTTAATATCAGTACACTCAGACAATAAAGGCCATCAGTTTAATTGGGACAATGTAACCATAGTAGCCCAAGCCAAATATAGACACACACGGGAATTCCTAGAGGCATGGTTCTCCACCCATAATGCAATCAACAAACACAAAGAATTGGATCCCATATACAAATCCATACAGATCAAAACGGGAAATGACTTTATTCACGATAACAGACCACACAGTATAAATTCCAAGCGGGGTAGAAGAACACCGCTTCATCGGAGGCTCCACTGATGATGTCACCTGGCATGGTGACGAAATGTCTGAACGAGAACAAGCCAGCTCAGCGAGCAAGTCAACAACCTTGCCCACAACCCGAGCTACAGACCTTTGCCAAAGCGTAGAATATATTCTACTAGACTGCTCTTAACTATCTTATAAATGAAAACAATTTCTCTTAACTTGTATTCTTTTTGTGATATTCTTTTTTCTACACCTCATCAATTTTTGTTTCCTGGTACTTTTCAGTCTTTCTAGATGCTTTCACCTTTCTTTCACTAAGAGCCTCTAAAGTCTCCTATTCATAACTCCAAGTTAATATTTATTAATAGGTAATGGCAGTTTCTTACCTATATAATATATCGATCCATTGTTACAGCCTAGCAGAAGGAATGTCCCCGCTGTGTCGCAGCTTGTGATAGGAACAACCTCCTGCACCTGCATTTTCAACAGAATTTTAATGAAATATGGATCTTGACAAAATTATTGATATTTTCTCTTAGGCAAGATAACATTCTAAACATAAAAAATAAGATGCTTGTTGCATTGGAACCTATTTAGTCTCAGTTACAAAGAAAATCTGAGAGAAACAAACTAAGAGCTTAAACACAAGATGTTACATGTCCACTGATAAAGTACAACAATTCACGCTAATAGTATCTGTCAATTTGTACAAGACTCATATCTAGAAACTGACATTGCCAGAATTACTTTATATGCTTCACTCAGAACCCCAGAAAGAGATGATTTTCATGTCGCATATTACAAGACCAGTTGATCATGTCAGCGAGGCTAATATTTCAGTGTCTGAATTAGTTCCTTTTCCATAAATCAGGTTATTTTGTTTAATGTGGGGTAGTCCTGTTAGATGGAAATTCCTGTAGAATTCCTTACTTTCTAGGAGTTGAGCTATAGTTTGAGAGAGAACTTTTCCACAGTGGGAAGTCCACATTGAACAAATGTTATTACGTGGAAAGCAATTGCTGGATTGAAAAGATGCATTTGTTATACGGCCCTGTTTTTTCAGCCCATTCTTAGGGTGGGTCTTGCTATTACAAGTTGTTGCATGTCTGGGAATAGTTAAGGAACCAAAAAAATGGAAGATTTTAGTAGGAGTTATACACAGTTCTCCTAATAGGATACACACATACAGAGATGAGAAGCAGGAAACAGAGTACTATTTTAAAACTGAGATACAACAGGTTACACTAGATTTAGTCATCAGTAACAAACCATAATTAGTTAACAATCTGACAGTAAGAAACATCTTACAAAAGTCATCACTACACACTGAATTTGCTATTACTCCGATTCAATTGAGAAGCTGGAATCTGATTTGTAGGTATTGTGCTACCTCAGAGAAGGGGAAAAGTTACTTGGGCACTTTGCTCCAGAGAGCCATCACACCTCTTTGACCACAGTCCAGTTTTGAGTTGCCGAGTCTGAGACAGAAGGGTCATGCACTTATGAGGACCCAGGGGGTTACATTGAGGACCCTTGGCTTCTACAATTGTCCGACAGTTACAAAGCTCTTGCAAACTGTGAGGAGAGTGGGAACTGCACGGAGATGAACAAGCCAATCACAGCACCTTGGGACCAGGTAGAAACAGGAATTTAGCAATGGTACGGGATACTACAATTAGGGGGTCCAGATTCTGTTCTCTGCAGCTGTGAGTAGTTTTCCGGAAGGCTGTGTTGCATCCCTGGTTCAAGGGTTAAGGACATCTACTCAGGGTTGGAGAAGAGCTTGGAGGGGGAAGAGGACAGAACAGATCCAGTAATCAGCATCGATGTTGGTACCAATGACAATGGTAGGACCAGAAAGGTGGCTCTACTGAAAAATTTTGAACAATTGGGAGCTAAATTGAAAAAATAAGGAGCTCGAAGCTAATCTTTGGTTTGCTATCTAAGCTACAGGCAAACTGGAATAGGGTAAATACAGTCAAGGAATTAAATGTGTGGCCCAAAAATTAATGCTGGTTGAATGGGTTTCAGTTCATGGTGGCACTGGCATCGGTAATGGGGTCATGAAGGGAAGGAGACAGAAAACAGTTAACATTGGACCCTTTAGCTTAACATCTGTCATTGGAAAAAATCTACAGTCTACTACAAAGGATGTAAAGCAGAACATTTAGAAATACTTTATATGTTCAAACATAATTATGAAGGGGAAATCAGGCCTGACAAATTTACTCAAATTCTTTGAGGTGATAACAAGCAGGATAGATAAAAGGGAAGCAGTGAAAGTAATATATTTGGATTTTCAGATGTTTGATAATGTACCACAAATTAGGCTACTTAAAAAGCTAAAAGTCTATGGTGTTGGAAGTAGTATATTTGCATGGATAGAGGATTGGCAGAGTTGGGAGAAAGAGGATCTTTTCAGAATGACAGCCTTGTAACTAGTGGCATGCCAGAGGGATCAGTGCTTTGGCCACAATTCTTTACAATATTTATTAATGAACTAAATGAGGAAAGTGAATGGACTATAGCCAAGTTTGTGGATAAGACAAAAATAGGTTAGTAGGCAAGTGGTGAAGATGACACATAAGAGTTTGCAAAGGGATACAGAGTAACTTGACAGATGCAATATAATGTGGGAAACTGTAAGGTTATGTACTTTGGCAGGAAAAATAGAGGAGCTGAATATTATTTAGGTGGAAAAAGACTGCAGAAAGCTCCAGAAAGGAGAGATTTGAGTCCTCCTGAATGAATCTCAAAAAGCTAGCATTCAATTTCAACGGGAAATAGGGAAATCAAATGGAATCAAAAGTCAGACCACAGCTGCAATGCTGTGAACAGTTTTTGGGCCTCTTATCTAAGGCAGTACAGAGAAGGCATACTAGGCTGATTCCAGGTGTGGAAGGACTGTCTTATGAGGAGCAGTTGAGTAGGTTGGGCCTGTACACATTGGAATTGAGAAGAATGAGCAGTGGTATTGAAACATGCAAAGTTCTTGGGGGACTTGACAGGATGGATGTGGAGAAGTTACCTCCCCTGGAAGAGTTTTGTTATCTCAGAATAAGGGGTCGCCCATTTAAGACATAAGAGGAGAAATTTCTTTTCTCAGAAGGTACCTAATCTGTGGAATTCTTTACTAGAAGGGGCTGACAAGGTTAGGTCATTAAACATTTTCTAGGCTGTAATGGAGAGATTTTTTTTACAGGAAGGTAATCAAGGATTTTTCAGGAAAAGCTAGGAAAATGGAGCTAGGGATCATCATGTCAGCCACGATCTCTCTGAATGGTTGAAATGAATGGCTGAACTGAATGGCCTACTTATGCTTTTACATCTTTTGCTCTCATGTGGGAGAACCTTGAAGGAGTTAGAATGGAATTGCTCACAGTAAAAGGGGCTAAACAGATATTGGGTAATAAGCGAAGCAATAGAGGGAAATGTTTAATAGGGTTGAAAACTGGGAACATCTAAAAGGCAAATATCTCATTTGTGCAATTAGCAACCAAGAGTAGTAAATGAGGTAAGAGGTAGTATCAAGCTTAGCTATTACATTATCTATCATAATATGTAAGACAAAAACAAAGAAAAAGAAGTCTAACATCTAGGAGATCTCTGAAAACAAGAAATACAAACAGTAACAGAGATGCAGAAAAGAGAATATCAGAAGAGCAAAAAACATAAAGGATAACTGCATTACTTTTTACAAAGATGAGTAGTACAGCAGACTGTGCTTTAATTAAACAGATGTAAATAAGCCTATAACAAACAGCAAGTAAATGGCAGACTCACTATTTGAGTCTATTTTTTATAATGGGAAAAAATTTTCAACAGTTGGTAGTTAATCAAGTTATGGGGACCAACATAGTTGAAGTTAGTCTAAATGATAAAAAAAATTTCAATGTAGAAAATAATGTCTTGATGTAGAGAAATATCCATGGCCTGAAGATTTGTATCAGAACATTAAAAACAATTTTTGATAATTTCCCAAAACTCTCCAGAATCCAAAATTGTGGTTTTGAATTGGCAAACTGCAAATGTCACTGATTTATTTAAGCAGCAAGAAAAGAAAAACTACATTAACTACAGACCAGTCAGTTTAACACTAGGTGTGTGAAGTTACTATCAGTGCATATTTAAATAGTCATAAGCTGATCAGAATAAGAAAGTTATAAATACAAACTTGCAGATGTGACTACATTTAGAGGCAAAAAGTTATGCAAATGGGAACAGGAATCACAAAGAATACGACAGTCTGAGTGAATGAGTAAATCCTGGCCAAATGGAGTTCAGTGTGAGGGAAGTACAGGGTCATCCACTATGAACCTGAGAAAGAAAAGCTGAATATTTTCTAACGGTGCAAAGCAGTGAGCTACGGAGGAGCACAGGAATTAGGTCCTCAGGTACACATGAAAGAATGAGTAATAAAAGCAACAAATAATTTACTGAATTTTAATTAGTGAAGACTGGAATTCAAAAAACACTTGAAAATGGCACTTCAATTGTACTGACACTTACTCAGATTCCACCTGGAGTACTGCCTTCAGTTTTGGGCAGAACCGCAGGCAAGTTACTCTAGTCTGGAGTGGGCACAGCACAGATTCTCAACAATTACATGAGGGTTTGAACGATTAAATCACAAGGGTAGACTACAATAATATGGTTATATCATCTGGAGTTTAGAAGGTTGAGGCAGCGATCTGTGTTTTTAACATAAGGTGTTTTCATATTGCAAATTTAATTACACAGCGTAATTAAGAACATGTCCTCTTTGAATCAAGTAACAGTTGATAACAAATCAAAAACAAGGGGGTATAATCTTAAACTAAGAGGTACACTGTTTCGGAGTAGTCATGAAGGATAGTGGAGATTTGGAACTTTCTTTTTCAAAAGTTTGTGATTGCTAGGGTCATTGAAGTGTACAAAACTAGATTGTTAAGGTCACTGATGGGTAAATGTATCAAGAGATATGGACCAGAGAGAAGCAAATGAAACTGAAGCACAGGCATCCCATTATCTAAGTGAGGAGCTGACTGGCCTACACTTAATCCTATTTAAAGCAGCTGCATATTCATTTAGCCATCCTTCAACCGAAGAACTCGGTACTAGACCACTTTATCACTTGCCCACAGAATCTTTTTGCCCCAATTGGGTTTCCTTTTACTTAATCTATCCCCAACAGTTATCCTCTTCAATCTTTTCCAATGGTTGGCAAATATCTAAATTGAAGTTTGAAGATTGAAAATAACATTGTCTACACATGCAGCCATTTACCTTCAAAAAGCAAATAGGTCTTGTTAATTGGGTCTTGCTGGTTACAATTTTCATTTTTATTTCATTAGGCCTACTCCCCAAACTAAAGCAAAGCTGCACTGGCATCTAGGTACAATTATTTGAATGAACTGAAACAGAAATTTTGGGTAGTTGGTGCACTGCTTAATCTTTTGAATCAGTAATGCAAGAAAAAGCCAAATTTTGTTCTAGTGGCACTGTTTAAGCTCAATTATGTTGTTTTGTATTCAACAGCATTATCAGTGTTATAAATACAAAAATTTCACCTACCCACAACTTCCTCTGGTGGCTGGAGTTTGCATATCTTAATACATGAAGGAATACAGGAGTTTTGATACAGTATCAACATAATTAGTCATTTACTACGCATTACAGATAAATTCATCACCCTGTTTGTATGACCATTTATGAACATGAATCCCTGCTGATTACACTTAAACCTTCATATTTATAAAATGGATGATCACAGATACTGAAAATAATTTCCTCAGTGCTGTACTGCATTTGCAACTTATAAACGCAAGGCACCAGCAAAATAGATATGGTCACTATATTCTCTATCAGCTGCATAGCATCAGAAATAGTAAAAATAGCAAATGAATGTTTGCAACATTTCATTAAGGTTGTAGCTCACCTGCCAGTGCTGAGTGACTGCATTCCACACTCCTACTTTCCCAGTATGACTGGTTGCAACCAGCTGATTCCCAATAAAGAAGAGTGCATCCACTGGAACTCCAAGACTAAATACACCTACAACACAGAACAGCAGACAAGTCCATTGTTACGTTTCACAGCAATTCTCTTGTCTGAAAATTGACAACTCTGTCAACAAACAGGACCCTCTTATTGATCTCTAAGGCCATGGGGTAGTAACATTTTATATAACAAAGGTATTTACCTCTTCCAGAACTTTCGCTGAAGTATTTTATTAAAATAATGGTAAATCATAACTTTTCTTAAAAGTATGGATTAAGTGTAACAACTATCCAAATAATTGCCTGTGATTGCTGCTTATTTCGCTCTTCTAATAGCAGAAGAACAACCACCAACCGGCATATTTGAGGCTTCCAATGTCGCTGTAAACAGCTAGTGATTCAGAAATAATAACAGGCTTATAAGCAATGCCACTGTACATTTTTTTTCCAATTCGTGTGTACAGAGCTACAATGGAACATAGAAAACAAATGCACAGCGGGCAGATTACTCCAGAGGGAGGACACATTCAGTGAAAATTATCCACAACAGCATGTCAGCTCCTTCCATATTTGAAGTGTCTCTCCTGTTTAGTTAAAGCAGCCATGAAAGCTGCCAGAAATACAAAGTATTTCATGAAGAACGACAGGATAACCCGGAGGAGAGTGGGAGTTGTGTTTCCTTTAAGTAATATGAAAGGTGTGAAACCACAGGAGGCAGACAGTAATAAATACAACTTGCCAATGAACACAATTTCCTTTCAGGAATGATCTTTAGAGATTTGGAAGGTGTTAGCATAATTTTTTTTTACACTGACAGAATAACATCAGTTCCCATCTCTTGAAATTTGAGTCAGTTAATAGTGGCCTTCAAATACTTAGTGTCAAGGGCTCCCAAGTAAAATTCAGAAAGAGCATAAGCTCCCACTGTAATGATGGAATGTGGGTTGCTGTTCCTCTTAGCACAGATAATCTTATCAAACTCCCACAGTATTCGCTAAGTGCTCCTTTTATAGAGAGGCTTGCAGGATTACAGCAGTGTTTGACTATTTTTTATATACAGCAATCTGCAAGACACCTTTATTTATAAGTTGTGTGCTCATAACAGACCGTAGTAAGTTGGGCATTTTGAAAGAAAGCCCGTCAGAAATGGTTGCAAATCAAAGTCAACTTAGACACAGTGACTTCAAGAGCCATTAGTTATCAGTATTATTGCTGAAAGAAAGATATTCTGTTGAAGACTTTTATCTTCCATTTATCAGGACAATTTGTGAGAATTACCAAAGTAAAGGCAAAACACATTCAAACTATGTAAGAGGAGAATGTTGATCAGTTGGCAGTGGACTCTGATTGATACAGGCATTGCTAAAGAGAATGCACTAGTTACAAGACGACTGACAGTTAACTTCCAAGATGTCAGTCGTCATCTGATACATGCATTTTCCACAGCAATGTCCCCACCAGAGTCCACCACCAACTGATCAACATTCACCTCTCATATAGTTTGAATGTGTTTTCCCTTCACTTTGGTAATTCTTGCAAATTGTCCTGCTTAGTGCAAGACAGAAATAAAGTTCTTCTTTTTAGCCATGCTCAAAGATCTGTACAACCAAATGGCTATTTGTTTACCAGCATTACAGAAAATTCATGTCTGAATTTTTCAGTTTTGATCTTGGCTTACCACTGCTATAGATTTCAGTACACCTTTCATTTTGTACGAATTGTTTTCTTTTAAGCTTTAGCAGAGTTTAGATGGGCCAGTAGCCCTGACCTGCTAGTTATCTTTTTTTTTAAAACAAAACTTTTATTCACATTGAAAATGTTAAGAATGGTTTGCATTGGCTTGATTACCCTTAAGATTTTAAATACTGCTCCTACTCATGTGATAATGCTAGATATAAAGGGCAAGACATCTTTTGAATTCAGGTGTGATATTGCTGTGATACGGATGACACAGATGTGTTCTCATCATCTGCATATCATTTAATTACATTCGCACATATTTGGATGGATTCTTTGTAAGCCAAGTGCCACTTGTAAATGGAAATAAAACAGCTATTGAAACCAATGATCTAGTATTGTTCCTGCAATCCATTTTTTGGGAACACTGAAATATTCCATTATTATTTCAATCAGAAATCAGAAACAAAATCAAAAGCTGTGTAGATCAAAAATGTTGAATTTCCAAACAAAGATTCCTTTATTCTCACCCATATCACAGGATTGAAGAAGACGTGCATATATTGAAAAAAGAATGTTTATCATACCAGTAATTTCTCTGGCACAAGATGAAGCAGAATTCAAATACAGTCTTTGCTGTGATAAAAACACACATGTAATGCTTGCTTCAAGTGACTACCATTGATAATAAAACTTAGTTACAATTCTGAAAATTTTACTTACCGATCTATATGGATCTGATACACGCACTTTTGGAAGCATATTAAGGTGCATTAGACTTTAGACACTATTCAAATCAGGAATGGCCACCAGTTGGAGCAAAAGTAAGTAGAACATTTCAAAGAATGAATGCAGATGATGAAACTAGAGATTCAGTCCTCAATTAGTAGAATTTTTAAAATTCTTTATATAGGTGTATTAGCCAGTTAACTCCGTTACATTGAGTCACTGAAACACAAGTCTATTTCACAAATCGTTATGCCAATCTTAAGTCCACAATCTCTTAATTGCTAGGCTTTCATTATCACTTGCCACAAAAGATTGAAGTTTGATACTTCAGTATACACTAGAATCATTAAATGTTTCACCAATTGATGAATTACACTTAGGTCCACAATGTCTAACATATACAGAATTTCATACACGAACCTTGCTATTAGTCACTTACTGGAATACACTCATACTGTCTGAGTTGGTCTGAATTAGAACAAAATTCAGTTATGCAAAAACCAACATTATTTTATGCATTTGTTGTGACTTCCCGACATCATTAAGAACCAGTTTAAAAATGTCATTTGCAATTTATGTCAAATTCTAAACTACTGTCTTGAGTGATAGATTCCCTCCAATTGCTACTTAGTAGCAAAACTTTTAATCACAAATTCAATTCTCATTATATACAGCAGGCCATATTCTCATGGGAAATTCCAAGGTATATGCAGTGACCAGTAAAACCCTTTGAACTCTGAATATAAAACGTGGCCACGGTGGCTGCACTATCTAGCTGCCTCTCAGCTATTATGAGAACAAACAGTCAATTAAAACGGCTTGAAGATCTAACTGTAGCTGAAATCAGTTTAGCTTTTAAAACAGTAAGTACTGAACTGTGGAAATAGCCAGCATACTTAATTAATTTTAAGCAATAACTTTGCTACTGACAACTGGCAAAAAGTGCCAGCTGCCTGATACTATCCCAACTTATCATGGACAGTGGGCTGTACAAGCCACAATGATTTTATGATTTCATTACCAAGGTATGAACAGTTAATTTCTCCCCTTTTAACATGAATTGTGGGAGGTGGGAACAAGGAATGAGCAGAGGTCATTGAATTAAATACAAAAAAGGGGAAATCTGATGGGTAATTTCTACAAACCCTTAGAACAGCTACAGCTACTTTGGTGGCAAAGATCTGGAAATAGATTGCTGGTTCCTGTCCATTTCTTAGTGGGTTTTGGTGCTACAGTAATTACATGTTAGTAAAGATTATTTTGACCTCAGAATAAGCAAAAGCCACATAAATGCATTAGGACATTGCACAGCATCAGCTTCATTCTAAGTTCATGAGAAATATCTCTGTATTGGAAAAATGTTCATATGGAACAGCAACATTTTCTTTTGTGATTTCAAATCATTATTGTGACCACAGCTTTGGCACGTCTGTTTAAACACTCAATAAGTTACATAGAAAACGTCTATAATTAATAATTTTTTAAAAACCTACTTGGCATTTTTGCTTACACCCAACTCTATAAAATTCCGTGTCTCCATGGCAATGAGTTGCCAGTTACGAATGGCAAGTTAAGCAGGCTAGACTTCATTACAATGTGGGAAAAAAACTAAAGAAAGAAATATTACAGATAGTTTAGACAGAAGTTGGAAGAAGTACTTAAATTCTTTAGGAGGGTCAACCTCTCAGAAGCAAAAATATTCCAGGGGAGAATCCACCAAGTTTAATTCCACCTCCAGCCACATGCGCGTCAAGTGTCATAAATATTCATGCCAATTAAATAATGCTACAATTTACATAAACATCTGTTGTGCATATTAAACCCCCTTTTTCCAATTGTATGTTGACAACTGGTAACTTGTAATAAATTCACCTGGGGAGAGAAACCATCTCCCAAGCCCAGCAAAGGACTGACAGCCTTACAGGCAGCCACAGTAATGGTGATCACTTGCTTTAATTTATTTTCAAAATATGCATTAGAAGCTATTCTGAAATAGATTTGGGTTGACACATAAATCTGCTTATTTGCTAGCTTTGTCCCTGTAGAAATCTACTATGCAGCTTTCAACAAAAAAAAACAATAGATTTGAAAAATGCAAAATCAGGGATTTTTCAGAAACATCTCTCTCAAGGAACCTTAAATTAAAAGGAAGAAATTGCTAGAAACTTCACAAACACAAAGTGGTGCAGCTGCTGGAAGCCTGAAATATAAACAAATAGTGCTGGAAAGACAAAGCAGGCCAGGAAACCTGAGCTTTTCCAGCATTTTCTGTTTATAAGCTGGAAACTTTAGATTTCATCAATATGAAATTAAGGAAAAGGATGCCTCAAGACATACTTAATTAGTGGTGGAATTACTAATTTTTTGAACAATCCATCAGATTATCACATATGCAATAGCTGGCAACTCTTTGCTAGCATATCACAGCTGAGCCCATTACTGCCCCTATAAGACATCCCATGCATACAAATTACAATATAGATTGCTGGACAGCATGAGAATCAGCTAATGTTTACTCTCCCTCAACCAGTGGCTGGGTCAATGGATAACCTTTATAGATACCTCAGAAGGAGCAGTTTACTGAATTTACTCAGAATCAAATCTGGGGATGTCCTGTGCTCTAGGCACAGTATTGTGCCACTCTTTTTGCATTCGTTTGCTGGATGCAGCATCACTGACTGGGTCAGAATTGATTGCCCACCCCCAATGCCCTCAAAAAGATGATGGTAAGCTGCCTTCTTGAGCCACTGCAATCCTGGAGTTGCTTTTTCAGAAAGGAGTTCCAAGATTTTGACCCTGCGATTGTGAAGGAATAACAATATTGTTTCAATTCAGGATGGTGAGTGGCTTGGAAGGAAAGTTGCAACTGATGGTGTTCCTGTGCATCTACTGCCCTGTTCTAAGTGACAGAGGTTGCAGCTTTGGAAGCTGTTATTGAAGGAGCCTAAGCAAATTACTGCAGTGCTCCTTGTAGCTTATACCCACTGCTGTACAATAGTGTTGGAGGAAGTGAATAGGATGACAATTATTCAAACTGCTTTTCCCTGGGTGTTAACGACCTCGAGTCCATCACACTCCTGACTTGTGCCTTACAGCAGACAGGCAATGGTGAAACAAGAGGTGAGTTACTCGCTGCAGGGTTTTTAACCCAAGTTGGTCTTGCAGCCACAGTATTTATATGGCTGGTGCACTTCATTTCCTGTCAATGATACCTTGTAAACTATAGATAGTGGGGGACTCAATGAAACCAGACAATCTCATTCCAAATAAAGTTAAATTTTCTGCTACCTGATTAATAACCAGCATGTCATCTATGTCATCTGAATCATGATAAAACCCTAAAAATGTAATCTAACAAAGTTATTCACTTTACAACTAGCTGGTAACTACTTGCAAGTTTTTTTATTGCAGACTTAAAAACTAGCAACAAAATCTCAGTTTATAAACTAAGTCAAATGACAGGACCAAAGCTGAAAGATGTGTGTTAGATTGCTTTTGTTTTCAAGAAAAGAAACAAACAGTGACTAGAAAACTGTGCCCAAGTAATAGCTTTACCACAAATGGTGTTTTAAATGGTCTGTGTTTGAACTTAAGGATAGATTCCATAAAACCTTAATGCAGTAATTCGATCTTCGAGCACCATCCTCCTTAATAGATTTTTGGGTACAGGGAAATTTAACTTCTGTCTCTAACATATTCGATGATTGAGCATTCACAGCTCCTAAAGAATACCAAGGATTCACAATTCACTGAAGAAATTTCTCAAGAAGTCATAATTGGCTGACCACTAAGTTTAAGAATGTGATCTAATCAGGGAGAATACATTTTCAACATGTGCCCTTAGGAATTTTATACTTTTGTCAATTTGATGACCTCCCATTCTTCTAAACTCTAGCAAAGACAGTTCTAGTCTATTCTATCTCTTCTCATAGGACAATCCCCTCCTAGCAACCGATCTAGTGAAACCTTATTTCATTCCCTCTTGGGGACGTGTACCCTTCCTAGTGTAAGACCAAAACTCAACTTCTTTATACTTGAACCCTTTATAACAAAACCCAGCAATCCATTTGTCTTCCTAGTTGTACTCACACGTTAACTGTCACAATGTATGTTCAAAAAAATCCCAGTTCCTGTTGAATGCAAATGTTTCCCATTTTCTCACCATTCAATAGATTATTCAACTTCGTTATTTTTCCAACCAAGTGGATAACTCAAAATTTTACCACACAGTATTTCACCTACCATATTCTTGTTGACTCACCCAACTTGCTGATATCTCTCTGTGGCTTCCTTGCACTTACCTACTTAACTGTGCATTTGTCAGGGGGCTGTCTGCGAGATGAAGTACAAGTATAAAAGGCTAGCAATTGGGAAATCAGAGGATGCAGACTAGGATACTGGACTGAAGAAGGTTCCCTTCGTAGCCTCAAACAGCAGCATACAGGAATCAGAGCACCAAGGGTGATTTAAACACTAACACTAATACTCAGAGAAAACAGTGCACAAAAGTTGATGAGGAATTTAATTGCAAGGACAAATTTTACAAACATAGTTTGTACTTTTAGTAACCAACCTGAAGCGTGATCTAAATGGAGGTCTTTAAGATCATAGTGATACCACAGTGTATAATTAGAACATTGCTCCTTCTGGAAGCCATAAACAGGAATCATTTTAATCTTAGTGCTGGACCATCTAAGGTTGATATTGCAATTTTTCACACAAAGTTTAGTGGAAATCTGAAACAGTATTCCCAAATTCTGGGTCAACTAAAAAGTTTCAAAACCAAAACTGATAGATTTTTATTAGGTAAAGGTATTAAGAGACATGGAGAAATGGCAGTCAATAGTGGCAGCAAAGATTAACCTTGATCAGCAGAAGAAGCTCAAGTGGATTAATAAACAGCATATGCTCCCTTTTTGTCATATCCCTATGACAGGGGCTAACGGCAGCGCAGGCTTTAAGAAGGCTGAAAAGAATGAGTCTTCAGATTATAAAAGCATGGATAGGGTCTTGGTGGTAGTGGTAGTGGTGGTGGAAATGGAGTTCACTGTAGGGTGACCATACAAATCAGTACTTGGCTTAATTCAGAAATTGTTCCCATTATTCCGACTGAACTTTCCTCAGCAAATGCTGAAGATTTAGTTAGTTAATGCTGAAGGTCAGTAAATTGAACTTTTCAGTTCTTATGTGGAGACTAATTTCTGAAGCGATTGCAGAGGTTGTCCCATTTGTTCAACTCCGAGCTCTGAATCAATTTCAAACTGCCTTGTCATCATTTTAGATGATAAAAGAATGTTGTTTTATTCCAAAAAACATGCAATACATACCTATTTCATTGCCACTTCCTCCATCCTGAATGCTCCAAAGGATTATACTACTTTCAGATGCCACAGCTACCATCTTGTCTTTATCACCAAAGGGTCCTCCAACAACTTTAGCATTAACTGCTACTCGCTCTATTGTCCAGTCTAAATATGGACTTGTGAAAACCTGCTGCCATCCAGAGGACTCTTTAATTCTAGAAATGAACAAGAAACCTTATCAACAATTAATCCTCATTAACACAATGTACACAGTGCTTTTTGAAAACAGAACATGTTGCAATAATCTTAAATTTTCAAACATCTACTTCTGAGAATAGTAGTCTAACAAAGTTGCACTAATTTTCTTTCTAACCAATTTCAAGCTGAAGCCGTAACTGAAGTTTCAAAGATCACCTAGGGAACTGAAAAATTAATCCAAAATTACAGCAAACTTGTTTAAAGGACACAAATTATAAATTTAACAGAAATTGGGTGGGGGGGTATCCAAAATAAAGTAGCACTTTGAAAGAATATATGATTGAAAAAAGCTACCTTAAGTGAGTTCATTTCTGGTGGAAATGGAGATTGAAGGATTTGTATTAATGGACTTTACCAGCTTCTAGAATTTCAAATGTGAACAAATTCTAATAGATTGGCAATTACTGACCAATCTCTAATAAAGGGCTACATTCTACAATTGGCCATCGTCAGGTTAGTATTTAAAATCTGACCAGATATTGTTAATTTATTAGCAACAATAGTGCTAACCTGAGTGGCTTTTATCACCCAATGCTTTAAAGGAATAGTTATATAATTCCAAGTCAGGATAACATGTATTTTGGAGGGGAGGTTGTTGATAGTACTGTTTCCATGCATTCGCTGCCTTTGTCCTTCTGGGTGTTAGAGGTCATTAATTTGGAATGTATTGTCAAAGGAATTACTACAATGCGTCTTGTAGATGGTACACAATATTACCAGTGTACAATGGTGACGAAGGGAGTGAACGTTAAACATGGTGGATTCAAAGCCAATAACTAGGTTGTGCACATTCAACTCAAAGCTATTGCTGTCACTACACCAAACATCGGGGATTTTTCTTTAATATTGATCAGGCTAGTCCTTTTCTCCCATTATTAAAATTTGCCTTGCTTTAATTCCTGTACCATGGACTCTTGACCTTGCTATTCATTCACTATTGTTCTTCTGTTGTTCAGCTTTCTTCTGTCAACTCAGCACTGAGTCATGCTTGGACATATCCTTCACTATCACCATTCCCATCCTCTTCCATTTCAGTAGTAAATCTTTCCAACTTATAAACGGTCCCTTTATACCTTTTCCCTGTGGGTCCAAGGTCCCCCATCCAGCATCTACTAACGATCAAACTGTTTTTTTCAAAATCTTTTTTTCTGAAGAAGGGCTTCTGAAGAAGGGTCTCAATCCGAAACGTCAGCTTTCCTGCTTCTCTGATGCTGCCTTGCCTGCTGTGTTCCTCCAGCTCCACACTGTGTTATCTCAGACTCCAGCAGTTCTTACTACCTCTGAGGTAACTGGAGGGGTTGTTCCTGATCAAGAGATCTATCCTTACAAGCGGCTGAACCAAGAAGTAGGTGCAAAGATAATTATCTTGGATCTGGCACCCTACATCTGGATACAGCGGTTAAATTTGAAAGATTGAACAACTACAAAGCTCACAGTCTCAGTAACAGATTTAAAGAGCCAACTGACCTCCTTGGGACAGTCTGATCACCTTCCTACTCCTGTTAAAGCAGGAAGCAAGATTGGAGTCTGGATTCTGATTTTCAAGACTTTTAAGCCCGCTGACACAAACCCATGTGCCTTTATGCAGTTAAAATTTCCACTGTAGTTGCAGTTAATGATGAATACCATAAAACTTAATGGGAATGTTAAAAGCCAATGACTTTCCCTCCTTGTTTTCTGGGTCAATATGACTCTTCTGCCTTAACTCACGCCACTGCATTTTAAACTGGGTTCTTTAAGGCCCCGAGGGCAAGAAGAATTACCAGAAAAATGTTATCTGACAAAATTAGGTAAAATGGTTTTAAGCTTCAAATTTCAAGATGTGGAAATATATATAAAAGCCAGAAGTGTAACATAAGTCAAAAGCATTAAACGAAAGCAACAAGTTAGGCAAGTCAAAAATACAAACGTTTGTAACATAATGGCACAGCTTTGAGGAGGACATTTTATTGAAAAATCAAGAAATACTTCTAATGCAATGTAAATTCAATGCATAAAGTAACATTTCTAAATTTCCAAGGTATTCCTTAAGAAATCAAACTCTGTTGTTTTCATAATATTAGCCAGCTTGGCATAGTTCTTGCTCAGCTGTCGTCAAAGTCTTCAGTGACAGATAAACTACATAAAAACTCAATAATTGTGCCTGATTTTCCTCCTGCACTGTTGGTGAAAGAGAACTTGTATTTCTCTACACATATTTTAACCATCAAAAAAATGTCACAAAAAGAAATATCACACCCTGCAGAATTCTTAAATTCATCACTTGCACATGGTAGGGTTGCCAGTGAACTGTCAAAAGATATAGGTAGTAGATTTAAAAACGACTGTAGGAAAGTGCATAACTTACAGCATGTCTGGTTACCTACAATATTATTTTGATCCTATTATCAATGCTTGGCTCGATTTTCCCCAGGTGTTGCATGAGATTTATTTCATTTATGGAACCACTGGTCTTCAAAAAAAAAAATGCTATTTAATCTAGAATTGTATGGACTACATGTTACTGCTGTCTGTCTTAGATTATAGGCTTTAATCCTTTTTGTACTGGGAGGAAAAAAAAGTCACTTAAAATTCAAATTGGCGGGAATTAAAACACAAGTGAACGTTTTTAAATACCAAAAGACTAAAGGAAACAATTGAACACGAGACTTCCCAAGCGACAGTCTGTTAGGGGTGGCAAGGTGGCTCAGTGGTTAGCACTGCATGGGTTTGCTCTAGTTTCCTCTCAGTCCAAAATTGTGCAGGTTAGTGGATTGGCCATGCTAATTTGTCCATAATGTCTAGGGAAATGCAAGCTAGATAGATTAGACATGGTAAATGTAGGGTTACAAGGATAGATAGGGGACTGGGGCTGGGTGAGATGCTCTTTGCAGGGTCAGCGTGGATTCTCATAGACCGAATGGCTCCTTCCATACTGTGGGGATTCTATGAGTATGGACTGCTTCTTCGACTAAAACAAAATGGTTGAGAATACTCAGTAGGTCAGATAGCACGCCAACTTAAAACAGAATTAACTTTCCAAATTGATCAAAGGTCATCAACCTGAAATATTATTCTATTAAAAAATACCTAAAAGAACTGCGGATGCTGTAAGTCAGAAACAAAAACAGAAGTTGCTGGAAAAAGCTCAGCAGGTCTGGCAGCACCTGTGAAAGAAAAAAGAGTTAACGTTTCAGGTCTGGTCACGCTTCCTCAAAACGGTGGATTGGTTTCATGTTGAAAAGGACTGAAAACTGTACAAGTAAAGAATACACAAGAATGGAACGTCATCATGAGTCAAGAATAAAAATGAGCTGGTGGTGACATCTGCTGACATTTCCAGAAGCTGGTTTCCTAGGCTGAATCACAATGATACAAGGGTTGGAAGAACAACGATGCTCACGATAATAAAATATGTCTTGTACAGCAGGGGTAAATTTTTTTGTTGTTTAGGTGACATGTTTACAAAGTCTCTATTTGAAAATAGTGACAATGAGAATACTCAAGAAATTAGAAGGGCCAAATTCCATTTGTCCTTTAAGCATATTTAATCACAACTCTTGGGTCACTCATTTACATTAATAATGGAATGTTATGCAAACTCCCAGATAACTCATTAAAAATTGGTGATCAACAATATGAACAGGATATAAAAGTGGGGGAAACAATGGTTGCAAAGGTTGAGATATTAAGTTGTCCCCTTTTCCATATGATGTTTAATCTACTTCAAGCGATTTTTAAATAAATTGATACATCTCCTATGGTGTTCCTAACTATGCAAGTCTTGCTCTCCCATCCTTTCAGTCTCCTTTCTTTATACACCTATTCAATTTAATCTTGAAAGCTGACGTAAGTTCTGTACTTACTATTAATTCTGGGTACAAATTTAACCTCAACTGTGGATCAAGTATTTTGTCTTGTCCTCCATTTTAATTTTTTTCCCTTGGAATATTGTGCATTCAGCTGTTCATTCTAGGCTCCTCAACTAATGGAATCAGTCCGCTCATCCTGCCCCATCTTTTTATGATTTTAGAATCATAGAATCCCTGCAGAGTGGAAACAGGCCATTCGGCCCAACAAGTCCACACCGCCCCTCTGAAGAGCATTCCACCCAGACCCACTCCCCTACCCCTCTATTTCACATGTCTAACCCAGCTAACCTTAACATCCCTGGGTACTACGGGCAATTTAGCATAGCCAATCCACCTACCCTGCACATCTTTGGACTGTGGGAGGAAACCGGAGCACCTGGAGGAAACCCATGCAGACACGGGGAGAATGTGCAAACTCCACACAGACAATCGCCCGAGACTGGAATCGAACCCGAGTCCCTGGCGCTGTGAGGCAGCAGTGCTAACCACTGAGCCATCGTGCCACCCTTTTTAAATCCAAAAATATCACTATAAGCCATTTTAAATCCTATAATATCACTACAATCTGCTAATTTTAATGGAAATAACCCAACTTTTCAAGATTTTCTTGGCATTTGTACATCTTATAAACACACAATTTGCTAGTCATATAATACCTTTAACATACTAAATATCCCAAAATACTCCATCAGAAGATCAACAAAAACAATCAAAGCAAAATAAGAGACAGCACCCTAGCGGACCTGCTCAAGGCCTCAACGTCCTGCTTCATGTTGGAGCCTCATATTATACACTGAGGTCTTTGGTGGCACTTTTAAAAGATATGCAGAAATTCCAGACAACATTGGAGTTCTCATCAGGAGAGTCAACAGATTTTTCTACTCACATTGCACTTGGAACTCTCAAGAAGGCACTTTACCAGGCTGTCCTGTAAACAGCAAAATTCTTCTGTATTTTAACAAGTTGACTTTTGACTCCTATTTACAGGATAACATAATGAATTGCAATGCTTCTCTGGTACCTGTAACAAACCACGAAGTGTGCATAAGCTACAACAATCCAGTTGTGATGACCAGCTACTATCAGAACTTTCCGGGGATCCACCACTGTGCCTGGCAACAAAACAATATTCAAAAGACGAAATTACAAAATTTATTTCTTTCAAACTGGGACATACATTTCACAAAATTATAAGCATCATTACAATACCATTATGGTAAAAACTGCTTGGAATGAAACCACCGACTGAAACGTGCATTAATCTCTTTTGAACCATTTAGCCCATAGGTGAAAACGGATAGTTGGCAGTGAGACAGAGCAGGCCTTCACAATCAAAACATCATGTTCTCCATTTCTACTCCTCAATTCAGAATTAATCACCTAGTGAATCAGGACTAATGTGGTAATCTCTGCAGAACAGCATGTAATATTCATATACCAAACCATACTTCTCACTTCTCATTTGATGCTACTTCAGCAGTGTTAAAATTTTACTCCTTGATTGTTTTCAAAACAAGAACAATGCTCATGAATCCAGAGACTGTTACTGATTAAATGTTATGCTTGCCCAGAGAATGAAAATCACCTGGATATTTTCCAGCTTCTCTCTTGGGTACAGACAATTTCAAAGCCTGTTAAGTACAAAAGAGAATCCCCCAACATGAAAAGACTTTCATACTCTTGTGCAAGACTGATTGATCGACAGGACAGATTTGTAATCCTGCAGCTCTACAGAGATGAGCCTCATGAGTGCATGTTAATCAATTCTTAATAGTAGTCGTCTTATGACCAAAACTCCATGACATCCCAATTCCACCTACAACAATCATGCACAGTTCAATAACTACTTCAATAAATTTCTATAATGTGGTACTATGCAACAATTTTCTCAGCGCAGCACATGCCAGCAACAAAAAGCCTCATCACTGACAATGCATCCCACAGAATCTTGGGCAGTAGGTTTCCGGCCACCCGTTCATTGCAAGGAGATTTTGCCATAATGGCATTGTGGTGATGCGCTGTGATTTTACTTTCAAACATATACTTGAAATTACCCTCTTTGTAAAGAAGCATGTTCAGTATGATTAAAGGAACAGGATGGTTAATAATATGAAATATGATTTTTTAAAAAATAACTTTTTTGAAGTAATTTCTGATCAAACAAGGTCCAATTCAAAGAAGTGAAACATATGATTGAAAAGCAGATGAATAAGTGGTGCAATTATATGCATTTAGCCAGGTTTTTAAGGGACGAGCATTTGTATGTGTGTTTTAGAAGGAAAAGACAACAGGTTTCTCACCTAATCTGGCAGACCCTTCTGTTGAGATGACTCCAGCTGACACAGAAGGAGCTGTATTTGAACGGCTTGTACCTTCTACTATGCTCTGTCCAGCTTTACTCTCCTGCGAGGGTCCGAGCCCTCCAATGCTTCCTTTCCTACTGGGAATAGCTAGTAGAATTAAACACATCAATCTTTAACTGTATAAAAAGGTGAAATTTGAAAACATTCTCCTAATATTGATAGTAGAAAATAGCCTAAAGAAAGCACTCAGGGTTGCCACATACAATACTGGAGCAAATTACTGCAGGTCCTAGAATCTGTACTGAGCTCTGATAAAGAGTTATCCACACTCAAAACATTAGCTTACTCTCCCTCCTCGGATGCTGCCTGATCTGCTGAGATTTCCAGCATTTTTGTTTTCTTGCCACATACAAATTTAAGTTAGTTTTGTCTAGATTCTTCACTACTCTTGTTTTTTTCCATCAAAAGAATAGTCATAGTCAGTATCACTTTCCAAGCACCTTGCATTCTGTCTAATACTGTGTATTTGGAATCACCTAAACCACTGACAATGTTCCTAGTTCCCAATTTTTCTGATACTTGGAGGTAGCACAGTTTGTGTGATAAATTTGAACTTTGTAACATTTTAATTGACTAAATGCGCTCTTATACGTCTGTTTGAAGACTGGAAGGGCAGATTTTGTGTGTTCTGACTCCCGGGAGGTACTGGTGGTGGTGGTGCTGGTATGTAAAACAGGCCCAGCACCTCCAAATTTGTTTGAATATGCACAGTTTGTCAGCTTCAATACTAAGCCCACCCACTACACACAATTAAACAAATTAAGGGGTCTTCAGGCTTGTTACGAAGCCTATTGACTTAAATAATAAGTTGCTCACCTAAAAAATATAGCTAGTGCGAGTGAGTGGGCAGGCTATATTTACTGGCCCATGTAAGAAAAGGCAGGAAGGGGACTACACGTCATTCGAGATATATACATGCACTACAGGCACCCAGATGATGTCATCATATACCTTACACATGACCGTACAGCCCCACCCTACTTAGTGTTTTAAGTTTCTTCCTCACCTTAAAATGCAAAGATCTCCCTTTCTGGGATAACTATGACAATCATGCTTCTTCAGCGTTAGAGGAGTGAGAGCATTCGAGGTGCAAGGGAAGCCAATAATATCAGGATGAAAGAGGGAGGTTGAGCACTACTGGAGTGAGGAAGGGGGTTCAGAATTGTGGGAGTTAAGAGAGGGAGTTGACCACTCTTCGAGGTGAAAGAGGGAGATTGAGAATACTGAAGGATGGGGGAGGGGGTGAACATTTTCAGAACTAGTGTCATAGAGTTATAGACATGTACAGCAGCGAAACAGACCCTTCAGTCCAAATCGTCCATGCTGACCATTTATCCAGTCCCACTTGGCAGCATTTGGCCCATATCCCTCTTAAACACTTCCTATCCATATATGCGTCTGGATGCCTTTCAAATGTTGTAATTGTACCAGCCTCCACCACTTCCTCTGGCAGCATATTCCATATATGCATCAAAATAAAAACCACCCTCTGCATGAAAATGTTGCCACTTAGGTCCCTTTTAAATCTTTCCCCTCTCACCTTAAACTTATGCCCTCTAGTTTTGGACTCCCCCACCCCAGGGAAAAGACCCTGGCTGTTCACCCTATCCATGCCCCTCATGATTTTATAAACCTCTAAGGTCACCCCTCAGCTTTTGATGCTCCAGGGAAAATAGCACCAGCCTATTCAGCCTCTCGCTATAGCTCAAACCCTCCAACTCTGGCAACATCCTTGTAAATCTTTTCTGAACACTTTCAAGTTTCACAACATCCTTCCTATAGCAGGGAGACCAGAATTGCATGCAGTATTCCAAAAGTGACCTAACCAATGTCCTGTACAGCTGCAACATGACCTCCAAACTCCCATACTCAACGCAATGACCACTAAAGGCAACCACAACGGACGCCTTCTTCACTACCCTATCTACCTGCAATCCCATTTTCAAGGATCTATGAACTCACTCTCCAAGGTCTGTTTGTTCAGCAACATTCCCCAGGACCTTCCCATTAAGGGTATAAGTCCTGCCCTGATTTGCCTTTCCAAAATACAGCACCTCACATTTATCTAAATTAAACTCCATCTGCCACTCCTTGGCAAATTGGCCCATCGGCCCATCTGATCAAGCTCCCGTTGAATTCCAAGGTAACCATCTTTGCTGTCCACTACACCTCCAATTTTGGTGTCATCTGCAAACTTGCTAACCATACCTCTTACCTTCACATCCAAATCATTCATATAAATGACAAAAAGCAGTGGACCCAGCAGTGATCCTTGTGGCACACCATTGGTCACAGGCCTCCAGTATGAAAAGCAACCCTCCACCACCACCCGCTGTCTTTTATCTTCAAGCCAGTTCTGTATGCAAATAGCTAGCTCTCTCTGTATTCCACGTGTTCTAACCTTGCTAACAAGCCTACCATGGGGAACCTTGTCAAATGCCTTACTGAAGTCCATATACATCAACACCACCACACTGCCCTCATCAATCTTCTTTGTTACTTGTTAAAAAACTCAATTAAGTTAATGAAACACAATTGCCCACGCACAAAGCCATGCTGACTATCCCTAATCAGTCCTTTCCTTTCCAAATGCATGCAAATCCTGTCTTTCAGGATTCCATTCAACAACACGCCCATCACCGATGCCAGGCTCACCGTTCTGTAGTTCCCGGGCTTTGCCTACCACTTTTCTTAGATAGGCAACCTCCAGGTTTCTGGCACCTCACCTGTGGCTATCGATGATACAAACATCTAAACAACGGGCCCAGCAATCACTTCCAACAGAGTTCTAGGGTACACCTGATCATGTCCTGGAAGTGGATTATTTTCAGAAACAAAAACAGAAATTGGTGGAAAATTTCAGCACGTCTGGTAGCATTGATGGAGAGAAATCAGAGTTAATGTTTCAGCTCCAATGACCCTCCTTCAGTAGCGTCGTGTGCATTTTCAGCGCATGATGATAAAGGATATCTGGCTTCATTGGAATTACACTCATCACTTGATCTCCTAACTCTGGTACAAAGATTCTAACGTAAAATGGTAAGCGGGATTGTCAGTGGGATGGGCAAACATACCTCTCTAAAAACTATACAGCTCCTTGAACTTCCCATCAACATTTTCTATCATATATTCCCATACCATGGCTGCCAATGTAAAACAAGACTAGCTGCAATTGTAGAAAGATGGAGGCTGTATGGGCAAGTAAGACAGAAAGCAAGAATGCTGGTTAAAGTGCTATTCTTAAAAACTTAAAAATTACTCCAGTGACACTCAGTGGTCACAGCATGTAACTGTGTATGGATTTCTTGTTTTAGCAGTTAATCTTACATGATATTAACAGTGAAGTCCTCTATCACACTGCCATCTACAGGTACTTATATATGATGCAAATTCTATCATTGATTTTGTCACACACAGAGACCGACAAAGGATTCTTCAATGTCATTGATTGTTTGAGGCCAATCATTTTAATTCTCAACTGCCGAGTCCAGAATCAAAACATTACATTTTAATCACAAAAGATAAAATAGCAGCAAATAGAGAGCTCAAAATTCCTGAAACCTTATTAGTGAACAATGAATGCAACCAGGAGCAACACTTCTGGTGATGTTCCTTATCTTGCCACAATCTGCCTGTTAATTTCTAACTTGAATGGGTAAAGTTCAAATCAAGTATGAAGTCTGGGTGCAAATTATTCCTTCCAAATTTCAACTTGATCGGATTCTAATCTCAAACTACTGATTGCAGGAAACATCCTTGTGCTTCAACAATAGCAGCTTGTGTTTACACAGGGGCTTTAACATCACAAAGACGTTTTTGCAAGATTATTCCCAAATCAAAATTTGACACCAAGTAATGGGAGGAACAATCTAAACAGATTGGTCAAATAGATAGTTATTAAGAAGCATTTTAAAAGGAGAAAGAGATTGAGAGGCAGAGGGCTTTAGAAAGGGCTAGGTGGCTTAATTTTTAGGCAGCAATGGCAGAGGCGTTTCAATCAAGGATATGCTAGGTGCTAACACTGGAGGAACGCAGAGATTTCAAAAGTTTGAAAGGCTTGGAGAAGGCTAGAAATAGCGAGAGATAAGGCCATCACAGGCTTTAAAAAGGATGAGAATTTAGACATTGAGGCTTTGCCAAATTAAAATATAGTCCTGAAATTTAGCTTTGTCGATTTTTGAAACCTGCATGATGAAGCCTTAGTGGTCAAATGTCAAACACTAATGCAAAGTGGTCGAGTTTGAATCACACTTCAGGTCCCATTTTAATCTTTCAGTCTGACTGAAAGATGAATTTCTTTTCAGTCGTAGTGGCAGGAGATATGCTAAGGGACAAAATAAAGATTTAAAATAATAAGGACAATGGTAACATGATTGTCTTTCACTCTTCCCACGAGAGCCAAGTAAAGCATAAATAAACATGAAAAAGCAATGAGCATTAGTAGCCTGTATATTTATGAAGTAATGGTACATTATTTATTATGACAGAAAAGTTGATGTGGTACGAAAAGAATGTACCTGGAGGTGGCAAATAGCCATGGAATAGGACACTGCCACATGATGATCTTTCAAGTTCTTCACATAGCAACAGACGACGAACTAAGTACAGAAAAAATTATGCATAAAGTATGTTATTTCATCTATTTACCTTTTCAGACAATCTCTTTCAATTAAGTTATGTAACACACAGCTACCCTTTAACAAACTGATTTCTTTTTCATTTAAAGCAAGCAACTACATTGGTAAGTGATAATGAGGATGGCTCAAAAATAAAACAATGTCTCAATTGCACATTTTAAAAAAAAATCAAAAGAAAGTAAAAAAATTTTTTATTTATTCCGAGCAAACCTTAATCTTTGTTTATAGTAAACTCTCAAGCCCTTTCTAGCAGAAAATCAATTTCAAACCAAAAAGCTCAAGATGATCAAAACATTTAAGAAAAAAAAATGTACATTTGGAACAGGAATGTATTCTCTTCAAGGGAAGCTTTCTGAATGGACTCAATTCTATGGATGACGTGTGCCATGTCATTTTGATAATGCTAGAATAGTTTATACGCAAGCGTTGGTAGCAAGGTTATAGAAATATGGAAATGATGTTTTATGTTAAAGAAAATTATAACATTTAAGATTAAGAAATTAAGTTATGTATCAAGGTCATAATGGAACATGAGATGCAAGCTTCACTGGCTGGGCCAGCATTTATTGCCCCACCATGGCTGCCCGTGGGATGGTGGCGGTGAGCAGTTTCCTTGAACTGCTGCAGTTTATTTGGTGTGGATAAACTACAATGAGAAGGAGTTCCAGGATGCAACAATCAAGGAACATCAACATATTCCCAAGTCAGGATGGCGAGTGGCTTGCAGGAGAACTTGCAGAGGGTGGTGTTCCCATTTACCTGCTGCCCTTGTCCTTCTAGATGGAAGTGGTTGTGGGTTTGGAAAGCACTAAGAACTCTTGCTGAGTTTCTACAGTGGATCTTGTAGATGATATGCACTGCTGCTATTGAGTGTCAGAGGTGGAGAGAATGAATGTTTGTGGATACAATGACAATAAAGCAGCTGCTTTGTCCTTTGAGGTGTGCAGCTTCTTCAGGTGTTGTTGGAAATACTGTCATCCAGGCAAGGAGGAAGATTACAGCACACACTTGATGCGAGTTACCCTTGAATGTCAAAGGGCAACATTTAGATTCTCTTTTGTTGAGGTGGTAATTGCCTGGCACTTGTGTAGCATGAACGTTATTGTCACTTGTCAATCTAAACCTGGATACTGTCCAGGTTTTGAAGCAGTTCATTTCTAAATGCAGCATACCAAGGAAGTTGAAACTGGTGCTGAACATTTCGCAATCAGCAAACATCCCCACTTCTGACCTTATGAACGAACAGAAGGCCATTGATGAAGCAAAAAATGGTTGGGCCAAGGACACTATCCCAAGGAACTTCAGAACTGTATACTACAGGGTATCAACAGTATTGAAAAGGGCAAGTCGAGCAAAATCAGGAAGTTGATTTAGTGACATTATCATAGATTGCAGGAAAAAGAAAGGGACAGAGAAAAGTAAGTTCCAAAATTGTGGAGATTTGAGGTCATGGAAAAGAGAAGTATGAGATTGAGAAGTTGATTGCTAACACAGAAAAGGTACAAAACATTGCACTAGACTTTAGAAGAAACACAAGAGCATTTAAAGAGATTGAAAACTAGAAGTGCGCAAGGAATTAGACTCATTGGTTGACAAGCTTTTCTTGTATTCAGTATGTAAGGCTGTTAGAACTGCCTCTCCAGAAATTGGAGCAGTATCTAAGAATCCAAGCAACAAACAATCTTGGGTTTTAAAGCAAGTTGAAAACAACTGAAGGCAAAATGAAGTGTTCGGCACAAAACAGAGAACTAATACATACAGAAATTTAGCAAGGAAGAAGAATGTCCTGCAGTTAAGTCAGATGTAATAGTTAAGAATGAGTAAATGAAGAAAGACAGGGGAGGTGTAGTGGACAGTGGAGAAGGTTACCTCAGAGTACAATGGGATGTTGATCAAATGAGCCAATGGGCTGAGGAGTGGCAGATGGAGTTTAATTGAGATAAATGTGAGGTGCTGCATTTTGGAAAGGCTAATCAGGGCAGGACTTATATCCTTAATGGGAAGGTCCTGAGGAGTGCTGCTGAACAAAGAGACCTTGGAGAGTGAGTTCATAGTTCCTTGAACATGGAGTCGCAGGTAGATAGCATAGTAAAGGTGGTGTTATAGGAGTTGGGAGGTCATGTTGCAGCTGTGCAGGACATTGGTTAGGTCACTTTTGGAATACTGCATGCAATTCTGGTCTCCCTGCTGTAGGAAGGATGTTGCGAAACTTGAAAGGGCTCAGAAAAGATTTACAAAGGATGTTGCCAGAGTTGGAGGGTTTGTACTACAGGATGAGGCTGAATAGGCTGGGGCTATTTTCCCTGGAGCATTGGAGGCTGAGGGGTGACCTTACAGAGGTTCATAAAATCACGAGAGGCATAATAGGGTGAAGGGCCAATGTCTTTTCCCTGGGGTGGGGAGTCTGAGACTAGAGGGCATAGGTTTAAAGTGGGAGGGGAAAACTTTAAAAAGGATCTAAGTGGCAACATTTTCACGCAGAGGGTGGTGCCTGTATGGAATGAGCTGCCAGAGGAAATGGAGGAGGATGGTACAATTACAACATTTAAAAGGCATCTGGACAGGTATATGGATAGGAAAGGTTTAGAGGGGTATGGGCCAAATGCTGGCAAATGGACTAGATTAATTTGGGATATCTGGTCAGCATGGATGAGTTGGACCAAAGGGTCTGTTTCCATGCTTTACATCTCCATGATATGACTCTATGACTGAATCAAAGGAAGAACAAAAGAAAGAAAGACTCTTGATCCAAATGGTTTGCTAGGCTATTTCAGAGGAATGCATGTTGTTTATTAATTACTCCCTTTTAGGCTCCTCCGTTCCATTGGACCAGGCACAAATGAAACAATGGAAATGGATTCACAAAAAATTATACATACTTGCTAAAAATTAACCAAACTCAAAATTGTAAGCTGACGCACTGCAAGTGCCCATAAAGTGTCAGACTAAAAAGGGATGAATGCAGTTACGCCCAGTGATAGGCATCAAAAAATAAACAAATTGTATATGCTACTGAGGGCTTGGCCCTAAATTAATGTTCTGCTTTCCTCTAAGTAGTAGTTTAGGTAATAATCATAATTTAAAGCTCGTAGTTAGATCAATAGAAAGAACAGAATGTTTCAGTTAAAAAAATCCTATGTCCTAGAACAGCAGAATGATCGTAAATCCTACCTAAAGGAGTAATCCCATAAAATTCTGCTTCATGTCTCAGAACATTGATGTTTACTCCCCTGCAAGATAAGGAAAACAGAGGCAATTATTTTTAATCAGCATCTCTTAAAAAAAATTAACAGTCAAAAATGAAAGACATCAAATTCAGAATTCACTATTTCTGACAGCTGCAGAGGTTCAATCACTGAATATATTCAGCATTAAGGTTGATAGATATGTAGGTTTGAAGGAGATTTCAGAATTTCTTGATCGGTGGGGAGAAAACAAAATCAAACCTCGAGCAACTGCTGGGGATTTGCCAGGATTTTATTAAAATGCAAAGTAAGCACAAGAGGTTATATAGCCTATTCCCGCTACAATTTTGTATGTTCTTTTATTTTTGAAGATCAGCAAATATGTTATAGGCACTTTGAAGTCATTATGAACGCAAATGTGGCATTTCATGTGCATAAAGTAAAATCTCATAAGCAGGAAATGAGACGTGTCTCGTGCTAATTATTTTTTGCGGCATTGACCAAAGGAAGAATGTTAGCCAGAACATTGGGAGAGTTTGACTCCTCTTTCGATAGAATCAAGAGATCTTTGATATCCATTGGAACTACTAGAACAAGCAGACCTGGCCTTAATGTAATGTCTCATCTGAAAGGCATACTCTCAGTTCTAGACTAAGCGTGACATGTTCAAGTAAAAAAAAGTAACAGAATATGTTTAACAATCAATTAGATTTAACCTCTTTTGTGAAATAATGACTAAGTAGGGGTGGTCCACAGGCTTCCTAAGAGTAATCATATAACTGTGCAATGCTGAGTGGCAGATCAAATATTTGAACAACACAAAGAATAGCAGAAAAATGACTACAATGCTAATCAGGAGAAAGAAATTACGGCACAAGCAGTTGTTGACTTAAAATGCAAAAACAAGAGTTCCTACAGATATGCAAAAAAAAAGTGAGCGAAATGAGTGCTAGTCTTGTAGAGAGAGAGATTGGGGAGTTTAGGAGTTTATACTAGAATTTATAAAGAAATGGCAGAAAAAAAGAAATATTTTGCTTGTGTTCACTTTAGAGGATACAAAACATACACCAGTAACAGCTGTAAATCAGGTGATGAAATGCAGAGATTAACATAGTGAAATTACAATCACACAAAGAACTTGTTCTGAATAAACTGATGGAGCTGCATGCTGACAAGTCCTTACGTCCCGATGGACTTTCATCCTAGGATATTAAACTAGGTAGCTAGTGAGGTGGGGCTCCATTGGTGCCAATTTTTCAAAATTCACTAGATATGGTCTGGTGGGATCTTTCCAGAAAGTAGCAAATAGAACTTTGCTATTCAAGATAGGAGAGGGAAGAGTACAGAAGCAGAAAAAGGGAAGCTACAAGCCAATTAGGATGATGTCTATTGTGGGTAGTGCAGGAGTAAAATACACGATGGGTAAAAGGGAGCCTGCAGATGTACTGTAATTGGATTTCCAAAAGACATTTGACAAGGTTATTAGTGCAAAGTTGTTGCGTAAAGTAGGAGTATATGGAGAAGGAACCAATATATTAGCATGGATAGAAAATCTGCTGGCTGATAGAAATGGGTCTCTTTTCCAATTGGCAGGATGTGACAACTAGCATCTCACACGAGTCCACGCTAGGGACTCAGCCTTTTGTAGTTTATAATCAAAGACTTAGAGGAGAAGACAAAGGTATGGTCAATAAATTCACAGATGACATGAAGATAGGTAGGAAACTATAACATAATAAGTATACAGACTGACAACGATAAGTTGAGGGAGTGGGCAGATTATTAACAAGAGAACAACTTCAGAATTACGAGGTGTCGAGGGACCGAAATTTTCTCATATGAGTGTCATGGAAGTTATTACCCATGTACAGCAAGTAATTAAGTAATTGTCTCTTATTATGAGAGGAACTGAATGTAAAGGAAAGGATGTTATGCTTCAGTTGTACGGGGTACTGATGAGACTACATCTCATACCCGTGTGAGGGGGCAGGTGGACGGAGGTGGTGGAAGACCGAGCGACAGCGCGTGCACTCGTGTAGAGAAGAGTTAATGAGCGCGAGTGAGAGAGAGACAAAAAGCGAGTGTGGACATGTGCGCGAATGAGTGTGTTTTGTGTGTGTGCGTGCGTGCACAACAGAGAGGGTGTGTGAGTGTGAGCATGTGAAAGAGTGAGAGAGGGGGGTGTGTGCGGCGGGGGGGGGGGGGGGGGGGGGGGGAGAGAGCGCACGGGCGTGGGAAGGGGGGCAGGGAGAGGTTGTCCAACTCAATAACCTAATCCTGCTTTCTCCCCATTACCTTTGATCCCATTCGCCCCAAGTGCTAAATCTAGTCACCTCTTGAATACATTCAATGTTTTGGCATCAACTAGTTCCTGTGGTAATGATTTCCACACACTCACCACTCTTTGGATGAAGAAATGTCTCCTAGTCTCTGTCCTAAACGGTCTACCCCGAATCCTCATACGGTGACCACTGATAAAACCTTTAGTTCTCTCAGGACCGTGATTTGAAAGAAATTCAGGGATTTACATGTACATATTAATCAATTAAAACGTTCTAACTGTTTAAAGATTTAACGGAATCTTAGGTTTGTTTAGTACATCCTCATCAATGGTGTGAACCTTTGATCTTTTACTTATAAATTCTGTGTCTGATACTACCTCTCTCACTAACACCTGAAGGAGGACTGGGGCTCCAAAAGCTTGTGTTTTCAAATAAACCTGTTGTCATGTGATTTCTGACCTTATCCTGAAAATTTACACAACGTCAACTATTGTGTTAAAATTAATACTCTAGATTGGTTTTATTATACATTCTGAACATCTAATGCAAAGGTCATGGGGGAAATCACCTTTGATCTCACTGTACTGAAATCATAATCATGTTCTCATATTTTGCTACAAGGGAGTCTGCTACAAATACTGAAGTATACCAAACTTCCCCAAAGTGCTCAGATATCTGACTGGGACTCATTTTAAGAAAAACATTTTTTGAATTCTTTTTGAAGAGAATCAAATTTTGACTTTCTGTTGGGAGCTGCTGAATATGGTATAGTTAGTGTTATTACTTTGAGAAAAGGAAAGCTTTCTCTTACCTTAAATCTAATTCTTTTGTTCGAAGAAAGTTCAGAATTGGTGCAAATGCTGTAGGATCTCTGTCAATAAATATCTATAGGATGGAAGACATACATATTTCAATAACAATGATTGGCACTTGTTTAAAACATTTCATGTGGCACTGATAGCTCATGCTAACAAATCTACTGCACATACTACTACATTAACTACTTTATAATGCCAAATAGTTATCACAAAGCAAGGGGTTTCTTTAACTTAAAAGCTCTGGAAGATATTTTTGGCTCCCTCTAAGATAAACATCAACAAGAATGAAACCTGTTAAAAAGCCACTCTCATTTGACAGATAAGCAACTCTAATGTTTGTTTCTTCATTAGCCATTGAAGTAATAATGTCGATATGTCCAAAGTGGAAGCACAATCAGCAATCCAAGCACAACATGTGGCAAAGATGCCCTGTTTAGAGAAGCTTTTCCTTTCCTCTGGTTTCCAGTCAAACCCATTTATTTGGTTAGCCCCAAATGCAAACGCTGCCACATCTCACAACAATCAGGCTGTGTCGAAAACATGGGGCAGAATCTCACAGTTCCCCACCTCCTCTCTCCCAAACAAACCAGCAAGTTTACAGGTTACAGGTGGTGGCTCCTGCAAACCTCCATGGCAAAGCTGCACGATCTTTCACCCTTGTGCTGTCCACAATTTTTAGGTGTGGGGTGTCTAGTGACTTCCCATGTGGTTTCAATTTGAAGCTGGAGGGAAGAGTTCATAGGTTGGTTGGTGGGAAACTCAGCAGGTCGCACTGCTCAAATTTGTGCAGGAAGAGGGAAATGTCTGCCTCAAGAGTTCCCTTTCTATATTGGGCAGCACCTCAATCACTAATGACCTACCTCTTCCTCAGCCTCTCTATCAAGAACACCCACACACACCTTGCCTCCCCACCATAAGAATCACTCAAACTTGTTAATTTCTTAGGTCTGGGACTTAAAACTTCATGTTTACCTGTAGTCCTAGGCCCATACCTTGCTGCAGCTATAGTTGCTGAAACTACAGAGCTGTCTGTCAATCAAGGTGGCCAGCAGGTCTCAAAAATGGGACCTCCGTCCCACCATTGAATATCTTACCTGTAATGTTTTTGAGAAGAAAAAAGTGTTCATTCTATACATGTCAAAAACTTTTGAAGTGGCAACTTGCTGCAGTTTGATTACAGTTAAAATGGGATCATCCCAAAAAAGAGCATTTTTGATCAGTGTTATTTCACAACCTGAGTTCCTAAATTTTAATTATGGAAAATTATTTCAGAAAATGATATCGTGAGAGTGTAGTCAGTTTTAATTTTGAAATAAAATTCAAAAGCTTTTGAAACACGTTTTAGTGGTGAGACCAGAAGAAACAATTTAACTTCTAAAACCTCCTCAAAAGCCTACAAAAATCAGTCCAGTTGCAGAACGTGGTCACGTATTCTGAGCCGTCAATAGTGCAAAAAACAACTTATTTGCAATTTAGGTACTTTGTGCTTAAAATTCCATAAAGTTCTACAAGTTCTATCAACCTCAACTGGGTCACATCAAATGCTACAAATGAGAGGTTTTGTAAGATAATTATGTTCTCAACTCTGTCTTAATTCAATGTAAAATGAAGCATGCAACTTCCTACTAGTTTAGCTTGGTGATAAGCTGATGTGACTTGTGTCCTAGAGGACTAGCCCAGGTTAAGAATCATAGAAACCCTACAGTGTGGAAGCAGACCATTCGGCCCATCAAGTCCACACCAATCCTCTGAACAGCATTCCACCCAGACTCTATCTCTGTAACCTTGCATTTCCTATGACTAATCCACCTAGTCTGCACAACTCTGGACACTATGGACAATTTAGCACAGCCAGTTCACCTAACCTGCACGTTTTCGTCTGCGGGAGGCAACCTGAGCACCTGATGGAAATCCTTGAAGACACAGGAAGAACGTGTAAACTCCATACAGGCAGTCACCCGAAAGTGGAATGGAAACTGGGTCCCCCAGTGCTGTTTGGCAACAGTGCTAACCACTGAGCCATCGTGTCACACATTAAGTTCACTTGAAGTCCAAGTGCCAGATTTAAAACTGGAACATTGAGGTGGAAGCAGCTGGGCTTTTCTCTGTATACTTACAAACTCAGAAGCCCTGGATGCAGAGAAGCATATACAAACAAACAAGAAGGCAGCTGCTGTTGTCACCAACAGGAGTAAAAAACGCTCATCAGACTAACAGAAGTAACTTGCAACAGACTTTGGACCCTATGGCTCAGCAAACCAGGAGAAGTCAGAAGCTGGTAGTAACTTAAGACTAGTTCATTTAAAGACTATGAGATTACTGTGAGTTCCTGAGTTCTGCATAATGTATAAATGTGGGTTACTGGTCATGTTCAGAAACTAATTAAAGAACAGCTGCTTTGCAGCTTAGGGTATTTGTTGCCAAAGAAATAATTTTTAGTTGATATTGGTTTTAGTTTGTTTATAGCAGCAGAAAACCAACAACTCGAAATTTCAATGTGCAACTCCTTTAAGTTAATCCCTTGGAATTCAAAACACCTTCCACAAAGTTATCTGTCTCTCCATGGACTGCAGCACAGAAAAACCACATGCGAGGAGAAACTCTAAAGAACTCTATTTATGAGTGAGTTAGATAGATGTTCGATTGACAAGGGATTAAAAGGTTTAGAAGGAGAAAGTATCACAATCAGATCAGCCATAATCTTATCGAATATCAGTGGGTTTGAGGGGCCAAATGGCCCATTCTTGTTCCAAATTAGAAGTGTTTCATGGGAGCGTTATAAAATTGTCTCACATCAATCACACAAGAAGATACTAAAGCAGAAGACCACAGGTTTAGTCAAAGATAAAGGTTTAAAGTAAAAAGATAAAAGTAGTGGTTTAAAGGATATTATAAGGATAGAGGTGCTTAAGATGGTGTTCTAGAGGTTAGAACCCTGGCAGTTGAAGGAATATCGATTTTAATTGTACCATCATTAATTGAAGATTTGTAAACAACATGAATTTTAAAAGCATGGCATTGTTTAATTGAAACTTAACAGACACAGGGGTAATGGCTAAATAGGGTTGTACAAGTTAAAATGTAAACACCAGAATTTGGATGACCTTGAGTTTACAGCAGGTAGAACATGAAGCAGCCAGAAGCAGGCTGGAATGGTCAAGAACAGAAGTAACAAAGGTATGGGTATGGGTTTCAGCAGCAAATGAGCTGGGGCAGAGATGAAGTTGGTTAAAGAAAAGAGGAATTCAGTTGGTGATCAGGGGAAGAAATTTGGAATAGGGATTGAAAATACTGGATTTAATCTTCCCAGTCACAACAAAAACAAAGTTGCTGGAAAAGCTCAGCAGGTCCGGCAGCATCTGTGGAGGAGAAAACAGAGTTAACATTTCGGGTCCGGTGACCCTTCCTCAGAACCCGAAACGTTAATTCAAGAATGGAGTGAGGAATATTGGATATGGATTTGGGAGGTGACAATGCACTCAAGAACTTTGGGGAAACAGGGTTTGGACGTGGGGCAGCCATTTTTAAAGTTGAGGGATCAACTGCTGTTTTTCTTATGAGGACAGCATTAATGTTGGCAAATTTGAAGAAGGGGACCAGGAAGGAAAGTTGAAGAATAAACTCCAAGAGCTTCACAAGGCAACTGAAAATAGAATGAAAAGTCAATTTTCAACAGATGCATCAGAAAAAGACTGTGCATGTGAATGGACCCATTTTGCACTAATCAACACCTCAGGTCTATCAGTCACTGACTGCTCTGAGGTATAAGAGCTTGTCAATACAAGCTAGCAGTTAAATACTAATTCCAATCCCCAGCAGTCCCCCAAAAAAAGTTACTGTGCTCAAGAAACACCAGGTAGAAAACAGACATCATTTGGCTGCTAGAGAGTGCAACTGCACTGTGTCATTATGTTTCAACAATCAATGTACAACCAATTCAAAACGCTCCTGCATACATTCATCAGTGTCAACGAGAAAGTCACACATCAAACATCATAATCTATGAACTTAGAAACTGCTACAAAAATCCATTGTTAATATTTTGTTCTTACTACACCATCTAATATTTGAAAGTTGGAATGGACTGAATTGCTACTTAATTGACCCAACAGGACTGAGGGGGCCAGAATACCACATGGAATCTAGGAGATAGGCAGCCCCCACACACTGGAGTTCTTTACTTGAATGTCACTACTCACTGATTTCCCCACCCAGAAGGGTGACGTGATTGACAGGTCTGACCTCCAGTATTTTTGGGGATGAGGCAGGGAGGGGATAAAGAAAGGAGGAAAGCAAGCAAGGGGAGGCGGGAGGAGTTGGAAACAGAGACGGCAAGAAAGAAAGATGATCGGAGAAGGCTGCATGCCCAGTGAAGTCCATAACAAAGTGAGGCAGTGAACTTGTTCGAAGAGGCTTGACTTGTTGCAAAAGAGTGCACCAAAGCAAGAAGTTACTGACTACCAATGAAGGATAACACATTGGCACAATATTGACCTCTTGAACTGTACAGGCAAGCACATAATGATAGTCTTGATTATTTGAATAGTTTGTACAGAAGCAATGTATCCTGGGGGTGATAGAGCATAGTGGTGGCCAGAGTCTTGTGGTGGGATCAGTCATCTTGGTGAGATCGTCAGGATGGGAGGGTATCTGATTGGAGAGCTTTCTCAAGATGGCTGAATCAGGAGTTAGGTAACCACCTTCTGTGTGCGAGACAACAAGGTGCAGAGCTGGATGAACACAGCAGGCCAAGCAGCATCATAGGAGCAGAAAGGCTGACGTTTCGGGCCTAGACCCTTCATCAAAAAAAAACTCATCCAGCTCTGCACCTTGTTGTCTCGGATTCTCCAGCATCTGCAGTTCCTACTATCTCTCACCTTCTGTATGCAGCAAGTTTGCACTCCGGGGAAACTGCTGGGTTTTCGAAGGCTCAGGTAACTAAAACGGCTAGAATTAAAGTTCAGAAATTGAATGATAATAAAACACACAGCCTCTTTAACATGTTTAGACTTATACACTGTCTATCTGTAACAGATTGGCTGCATTCCTACCTTCCTGCTTCAACTG